CAGAGCTCAGGCAGGACGAAATCATGAGCGAACATCCCTTGAAGCTTTATCAGTTTTATTGCAGGACATTTTCTCTGATTGACATAAATGATATATATATATATATATATATATATATATATATATATATATATATATATATATATATAACTATATATAAATAAATATATATATGTATAATATGGATTTGTATAATTAATGTCAATCTGTATGAAAAAAACATGTTAAACATTTGGAGGATATGTTCACTTAATCTGCAAGAAAGATTTTTCAAAGATTTGGGGGATTATTACTCAAATGCAGCATTTGTGTTCTGTTCTTATAGAAAGCTTCAACGCCTTTTCAATCTTAAAAATTGTTCTGAATATTTACTGTATGACGTCTCACCCTCGTGGGTTCTTTTCATGTGGACAGTTAAGTTACTGGAACTCCTGAAACCTCTTTCACATATTTTTACAGGAATATGGCTTCTCCCCATTACGAATTCTTACGAGACTCCAAATGTGCTCTGTGAGTGAATGTATTGCAAGAATAGGGCCTTTCCCCAGTGTGGATTCTTGTATGAAACTTCAGTAGTGATTTCTGGGTGAATGATTTTAGGAATATGGCCTCTCCCCAGTGTGGATTATTATATGACGCTTCAAACGTGATGACTGAGTGAATGTTTTCCCGCAGGTGATGCAGGAATATGGCCTCTCCCCACTATGAATTAATATATGAGACTTCAACTTTGATGGCTGAGCGAATGTTTTCCCACAGGTGCTACAATAATGTGGCCTTTCCCCTGTGTGTATTCGTATATGACGGTTCAATGCCGATGTCTGATTGAATGTTTTCCCACAGATGATGCAGGAATGTGGCCTTTCCCCTGTGTGTATTCGTATATGACGGTTCAATACTGATGGGTGAGTGAATGTTTTCCCACATGTGATGCAAGAATATGGCTTCTCCCCACTATGAATTCTTAAATGACATTTCAAATTCGATGTGTTAGTGAATGTTTTCCCACAGGTGGTGCAGGAATACGGCCTTTTCCCAATGCAAAGCTTCATGTGGACTTTTAAGTCACTACTACATTTGAATTCTTTTCCACGTGTTTTGCAAGAAAATGCTTTCTCATCACTATGGAGTCTTTCATGAGTTTCAAATGCTAATTTATGAATGAATCTTTTCCCACAGGTGTTGCATACATATGGTTCATCAACACTGTGGGATCTTCTCTTGTGGGCCAACAAGCTATTTCTATGTTGAAAGTATTTCCCACAATCTCTGCACAAAAACGGCTTCTCACTCGGAGGAGCTGGTTCCTTGTTTGATGTTAAACTAAGTTTTACTCCTTTCTGATCTCGGCCATCAGATTCATGAGGATTGTGAGAGAGAAGCTGGTGGTCATTGTTTAGTTCAACTACAGCGGTGCTTTCAACTGAAATGTATTCTAGAGATGTTTCCTGTACCACACTCTCAGTTTCATCAGTACACGAGTCCAGAAGTTGATCTTCACCGTGGCCTCTTTCCTCACAAGTAGGAGTCAACGTAAAGGCCTCCTGCTTCGGTTCAAGCTGCTCTCCCTCTGGACTGGTGCAGAGTTCCTCCTGTTCCTCTTTAATCTCTGGAGGATCTGGGTCCTCTTGGTCCAGACTGGGCTTCCTCTCCTGGAGACAGAGCTGCTGGTCAGAGAGAAGCTCCTCCTCCTTACAGACACGTGACTGTGGGAGCTCTGGAGGGACAAAAGGAATAGAAGACAAACGTTTGAGCGTATAAATACAACGAGTGTTTATAAACCATAAACATCACGTGTCCTACTGTTCTATTAGTAAGTTAAAGAACACGTTGGTTTGAAAAACCTCGTCTTTATTGCTTTAGACAACAGAGTTTTCTTTAACAAAGTTGTTCTCACCTATCCTGTGTAACCTCACTTCGGGTTTCCAAAAAACATCCAACAGTCTGCGCTGCCGGTCGATCTCTTCCTGGGACTCGACGACGGTTCTTCTAAAAACTCCGAATATTTCTTCAGCAGCAGCAGATAGTCGCTCGTTGACAAACTCTCTCAAATTCTCAACTGAAGACATTGTTGCTTAATTACAGGTTAAATGAATTATCTGCACCGCCACAAGACAAAGCGACGGCTGGATGTCACACTTTAAAGTTCCGACTGCAGACCTCAGTCACATTAAGGTTCCGCTTCTTACTATGATCGCCGGTCAGCCGCCTTTTTCTTCCTCTATTAATTGGATTAGCGGGTTGCAACCCACAAGAGATGATGCTCACCGCCACCTACTGTACAGGAGTATGCAGTTTTGAAGTGGCCGTTTTATTACACATAGTGCCTGACTCAGTGTTTTTCACTGCGAGAGGCTGTCAGGTGTGCTGTGAATTATTTTTTTTACATACTGTCACTTGTATGAAAGTGAAAAAAAGAGCCAACTTGTGCGTTTGTGTGTGTGTGTGTGTGTGTGTGTGTGTGTCGTCGCGCTGTTGGTGCTATGAAGGCTCAATACTCCCCTCTGCCTTTGGGTGGCGGTACGCAGCGTAATTAATAGGCAGATTTGCTGAGGCGACAATTTAAAAAATGCTTCTGCGTCGTTGCGTCGACGCACTCGTTTCAATTCATGCTTCTAAAAGTCTCGCGTGTGTTGCAGAGCAATTCACCTCCAGAACAACAGGCGGAGTAACGTGTTTTTGTTGAAGACGACCTAGAGAGTCACGTCTATTTATTTGTTTTAATCTCAGGCCCTGACTCATTAAATACAGCTTTAAATACCATCTTTATATTGTATTACCATTCTGAGTAAAGATACTAGACTTTAATGGGAACGTGATCATAAATAAATAAATAAATAAATGCAGCTCAATGTAATTCAAAACTGTACATAGTCTTTTATTAAAAGACTTATTATGTAACGGTTACTATTATTTATTTAGTAGATATTAATTAATGCCAATCCCCGTTTTTACAGTATATTATTGATTAATATATTTGATCTTAGTGAAGCATTAATGTCAAAGCATTGTTATTAGTTGCTCTAAGATGTTCTTATTAAACTATTTCACAAATGTATCACAGTCTTGTGTTTTCGTAAACTAATTTGTTCTTTATGCAAAATGTTAATATGAACAGCGAATACATATGTCAGATTATTTAAAGGCAGTGGTTGACATTTCTACTGCAGTTTGAGGAGATGCCTGAATTGAGCTCCAGGCCACCGCCTTGTGGATTCAACTAGTAATACACCCGAGGGTTTTATTATCTGTCTGAGGGGACTTCGTACACTAAAGGACACATTTAAGTGATGAGCGGAGATTACGTTTCTATCAAACCATGAAAAAAAAGAATACACAAACCCTCCATTTGGAGCTACTTCTTGTCAATTAACTATTATGTGTATATAGCTTCTCATGACCAACATATTGATTCATCTTACCATGAAAACCTTGTTGAAAATATTAAAATGCTGATGGGGTCTTGTACACTAAATAGTAAAATAAATGAATATACAGCAATAAGAAAATCACTGGTTTAACCTGTTGCATATAAGCCATCATCATTATATTGTACATTATGCACTGATGTAGATTGGACTGCACATAAGTTCTACAGCCTTGTTGAAATTTGTTCCACGTGCACTACGCGGTTGTTTACATGTTACTGCATCAGTATCAATAATCACATCGTGTATTAATAACATCATGCCTCCTCCGAGGTGAGGTTGGCAATTAAATTCCACGCTTAAACCCGAAGCGCAGCGCGACTTAGTGGGTAAAGAGTCTTTTTTTTCCACACCCACGAAGCATCTGTTAACTACAGCTGTGTAGGTCTAACATTCGGATTGAAAACGATGCCGAAAACGTTTTCCATCTCCAAAGCTTTAGATTTCTGTTACGCTCAAGATGTCATTGAGGAAACAACATGCAGCTTGATCCTGTTGTTTATAGTCGAGTGTTCAGACCGCTGTGACATCAAGCCTCCAAACCGCTGCCACATCATTTGAAGGCATCCGTTGCGGGAGGGGGAGCAGGGGGCAGGATGTCTGGCGGAGGAATAAAGCCACAGGCATCTCTTAGATTGGATATATGCAAACATATATAGAAATCGGTGGCTGTGTATGCCATATTTGTTTGTTTTTTATCCAGAAGATTGTGTTTTTCGTGCTTTGGGGTTTTTCGTGCGTAAAATAAGCCCAGTGTCTTTGGAAAACTAAAATTTAACGGTCTTTATTATAAAGAATGTTTTTTTGGGAATACATGTACCATACGGTGTATGGCCTGGATACATTGTGATCTGTATCCAGATGATGAAACCAGGAAGCAGCTTTTTTCTTAAAATGGCAGAGATGGATTTAAAAGCAGGCACCTCGACGATGGAAACGTTGGTTCGTACAAGTGTGAGTATAATATGACTGTATTTGGGTTGTCACTGAGTGTATTATCAAATTAGGCTGTATATTTGGAGGACCTTCTCATCCGAACACAGGCATAATTTTTAATGGAGAACCGCTTAGATAGCACGTCTCCATGTTTCACCCGCCGCCCCATTTACGCCAAATTAGCCTTCCGTATGTTTCTCTGCACCCAGGAGACAGGCTGTGGAAACGAAATGAAACGTGTTTTCTAACGTATTGTATATTCTGAGTTATTGCTGCATCGTTGCTGTATGTTGTCTTGATGCTGAATGTGCCTCGGTACACCCGACCCAAGCTCAATGGCTCCTCAGAAATGGAAGAAGGCGCGCTCCTTCTTCCGGTTGCATACAAGCGTGTTTCAAACATGAGCAAATGTCAAAACCGCGTGAGTGCAGATTGAAAATGACTATTTTTTATTTCGGGGCTCACTGGATGGTCGTTTCCATGGAGATGGGATGCAGGACCGATCGGGTGCTGCTGAGGGGAGGGGGGGGGGGGTCTGTGCGTGCGTGCTGCTTGTAGCATCGGCCGTTATGGAGGCTGGAAAACACCTCGGCACATGGGACGGGCGCAGAAAGAGGCCCGACGATACGTTTGTGCACGAGCCACAGCATATACGACAACAAGACAGCTCAAGGAATTAGCATTATTTTGGTGTTACAGTCATTTCGCGCCGACCCCCCCACATCTCACCGTAGCGGGGGCGCTCATTGCTCGTGACAAAAATGCCTCAAACCCCTCCCTTCCTTTCATGAGGCACACTGCGCCCTCTTGATGCCGGAGCTGCACACGGTCTCCTGCCATGGCGCCTAGATTCCAGGTGAAGGTAAGGATGAGCTGCCGCATCGCTCGTTTCACGCCTTCGCCGCGCCGTGCTCAGCGTGATCGGTGCGCACTATCATCCGGCGATGGATACAGAGCAGAGCCACGGCCAGGTCGCGGTGCACAGCGCGTGTAGTCTGCTGGAATAGCCCGAAACTGCAATACGCAACAGAAGAGACAGGCAGGCCGGAGTTGACATTGGGGAATGACACAGGGCGACTGGGCTGCACTGAGGAGGAACGGAGGCTATTTGGATTAGTTAATCCAAAGTAAAGCTTCATTCGGGTTTATCGGTCTACTTGTCTTTTTCTCACCTGCTGGAGAATAATTCTGTCTCAAATATGTCGGCGGCAAACGGCGGCAAACTGGGAAGGCATTGCTTCCCACAATCCACTTGTAGTCTGATTGGTGAATTTCTGTCCAGCTGTCTAACACTGTGTGAGCTCCAGATCTGCTTACAATCAAATTGACATTTACTGTATATGCTCGTAATTCTGCATCAGGGGTGTCAACAGTGTTTCTGGTGTGCTGCAATAAGGTGACCCGATGCTGCATCTCATCACATCACAGTGTCCACAAACCCCTCTGCAGCAGCACCGTCCGTCCCGGCTTAGATGTGAACTCATAGTGACGCTGACAGAGCGCGCACTGCTTCTGACCCTGCAACAGCTTTAGGCCGCAGGTGCAGGTTCTGAGTCAAGGGCGTCCGTGAACCTAAAGAAAGCAGAGTAACACACACATGTCCCTTTGGTAGTTATTATTGAGGAACAGTCTTTTGGTTGGACTGTCTATCCGATGTCCTTGAACAGGACTTGGACACACTTACGGCTCAAGAGGTGCATCTTATAACCTCCCCCCCCACCCCCCCCAAAGAAAGGCTCCCCTGCGATCACATCAACTACCAAAGGCGCTGATTCAGCAGAGAGAAATATGCCATGAAGACTAAAAATGCTGGACCGATGTCTTGTTTTTTTTCCAAAAGCAGAAGAGAATAATGGCTAGAGCCCCTGTTGATATGCAGGGCTAAGGGTTAAGGGATGCAGTGGTTTAATAATTTAAATCTGGCCTTTATCCATATTTAACCAGAATGACGCCCTACATTGCCTCTCTTGAACAGCTTTTCCAATTACCATGTGTCTCTCTCTCCCTCTCAGTTCAGTCTTTTTATCTCACATGATGTCGAGCCTCCTTGGTGAGTGAAACGTGTCCATATCGACAACTGGCTTTGAGTGTCAGACTCCTAATCCCAATAGTCTGCTCCCTCTTTAAATCAGATATTCAGGATTCAAATGAAAATGTTGCACACAATTTAAATGACAATTAAGGGGTCAGGGATTTGTACTCCTAGAAATATTATTCGGTACCAGAAAACTCTTCCTTCTGTGTCATTCATGCTCGTACATGTGAAGTCCATAACCCTTCGCCTCTGCGCCCCCCCGACAGTCTAACATGAAGAGCCTGGAGCATGAGCTGCATTGCTCCGTCTGCAAGGACATCGTCAAACAGCCCGTGGTTCTGCCATGCCAGCACAGCGTCTGCCTCATGTGTGCCTCGGAGGTCTTGGTGGCAAACGGCTACCCGCCTCCGGATCTCCCCCCGGAGCCAAACTCCCCAGCCTCCACGCCCAACACCCGCTCACCCCGCCAGGCCCGAAGACCCACGCCGAAAGCCGAGCAACGACCTATTGACCGCGTGCTGCGGGCAGGTGGGGGAACACTTCTCCTCAGGCCGTATCAGTTGAATCCGTCTACAGGGGACGTTTGCGTCTATGTGTGGATAAAAGTGGAGGCTCAACCTTCAACTCTGTCCCTCTGGCTCATAACTGGCTTTTTCTTCTTGGTTTGGAGGTCCCCACCCACCTTCGCCATCCATGCCCCGCTCGCCGGGATACGGGACGTATCCGGGGCGCCGCCGTAAGGAGGGCCCACCCTTGGTGATGATGTTTCCTTGTGTCCCCTGCGGCCGAGATGTGGAGTTGGGAGAGAAGGGCCTTGCTGACTGTCTGCGCAACCTCACTCTGGAGCGTATAGTGGAGAGGTAGGTTCCACACTCACACACACACACACACATCCAAAAGAGTAAAAATGTAAATACACGGACCAAAGAACCCACACAGGGATCTTTTCCTTCAGCGCGCGAGTCGACCTGAAATAGTTGACTTGGGCGTTAAAAATGAGAGGGTGTGGGAACACGTTCAATTCGGACAGTAATTATTCAGCAGCTACTCAGCTGTTGATGAATCCTGCCGAGTGTGCACTGCAACATAGTGTAGCAACCAAGGCTGACTTGTGTGCCTCCTCAGTCCAGTGGCTTGGTGCTCGCTTTACAACCCATTCGATGCTACTTGGCTCACTCTCGCACAGTGAGCCCCTGGCCCTCTCATTTAAATGTGTTCACAACCTTTCAATCTTCTTTGATTAGAATTTCACTCATCAGTTTTAAGTTTTCGACTTTAACTCTTAATTGTCACGACTCCTAACCGGCCCTCAGGAAGTAGGTTGCATTAGTTTGGTAAATGTCTGTCTGCAGACCTCTCTTGATAAAAAGTGAAATGATCTCAATGGAGAGCGCTTTCTTGGAGGTTAAATCAGTGTTTCCTATTCCTCTCCCTCCACACCACTACCAGGTACAGACACTCAGTGAGTCTGGGCAGCGTGGCTGTGATGTGCCAGTTCTGTAAGCCTCCTCAGGCCCTGGAGGCCACCAAGGGCTGCGCTGACTGCAGGTCCAATTTCTGTAACGAGTGTTTCAAGCTGTATCACCCGTGGGGGACGCCACGAGCACAACATGAGCATATCCAGCCCACACTCAACTTCAGACCCAAGGTATGAATTTGGATCCCTTTTTTTTAAACCAATGAAACCAATTATTTAAAAAATGACAAGATTTTTGAAACTTTGAAACAAGGCAGCTTTTATAGTGTGGGGCGCCTGTTGTAAAATGTTGCACGTTCTAAAATCCTGCGCAGTTTTGCTACATTTAGCATTATCATATGAACAAAAAAGCACGACAATATTCATATGTCACTTTTTCAAACATTTAGAAAGAAATTCATGCAAATTCATGCAATAACCTTTTCAAGGATAATGTTTGGCAGTAACACAAAGTAAATAATATAAATGTTACTGTAAATCTAAATGTTAAATGTTATATCTAAATGTTAACTGTAAATCTAAATGTTAAATGTAAATCTAAATGTTAAACGTAAATCTAAATGTTAAATGCAAATGCAAATGTTATATCTAAATGTTAAATCTAAATGTAAATGTTGTATCTAAATGTTAAATTATGGTTGATAAATCCGTAAATAATAACATAAAACAATTTTCATGTTGCTATGAAAACATTCCTTTGATTGTGGCTGTGTTGATAATTCGTATTTTAATGTATAAATCGTGGTAATATTTTTAGTTTGTTAAAACTTGAAAAATAAATGCATATGCAATAAGTGCATTATTAGAAACTGGTTGACATACTTTTTGTACACCTGAAATATGACAAAAATCATATTTTTTTTTACTAAATGTCTGATGTTTGTTCAATCAGATTTTGGCCAAGTTATTCCATAGAACAAGAACTCAAATATGCACACATGAAGACAAAAAACAATGTCCAAATAAATGATCTTCTTAACAATGTTTGTTTCTGACTGTCTGCTGTCGGCCCATTTGGCAACGTGATGCTCCTTAAATAAGACACATCCTCATATGGACCCAACTTTTCCTTTGTAGGTAAATTGAGCTGTAGATGAATATGTGAAGCATTGATTTCGCAGGTTCTGACCTGCCCGGAGCATGACCAGGAGAAGCTGCAGTTCTACTGTCGGTCCTGTCAGCGGCTGCTCTGCCCGCTCTGCAAACTGCGCCGCGTCCACACAGGACACAAAATCCTGCCAGTGGCCCACGCCTACCAAGCCCTGAAGGTACGACTCTGAAATTGACCCACATTTAGACATAGAAATAAACACGAAGGAAGGAAATTGATAGTTATACTGTATTTGCCTAATATCAGACACAGTGTCAACACAATCTCGTGTGCAGTTGAAGAACTCAAATGTCTGGACCAAGGCAATACTTTTAAATGAGTAAAGGACGATATCTAAATGTCTAGTTACCATAAAAATTAAAATGTGAGTGAATTTATTTTGACGTATTATACACAGTAAAGTTCTACAGTTGCATTATTTGAAAATGCATCACAGAGGGGCATCGTACAGCACCACAGAGTGGGACTCACAGTCCATGTGTAGCGATTAAGTCGTCTGGTGTTTATTTTTTTGTTTGCATTCTGTGTTACAGGAGAAGATTACAAAGGAGATGAACTACATTCTGTCCAACCAGGACACAGTTCTGTCCCAGATTACCCAGCTGGAGAGTTCCATCACTCAGACCGAGGTGATTAGTACTTTGACCTTACAAAATGTTGCCAAACACGTCATTAGTGTAACGCCAGTCAGCTTAACACCATGAAACTGCACTGAACCATCTTATTTGAAAATGTATGTTTACAACACAATACATTTAAGCTTTAATCACACATAAAAGTCTTTACCAATGTATTTGGATTATTTCTCAACAATTACTGATACAAAAAGATGTATAGAAAATGTGTTGAAATAATGTGCCTTTTCTATTTTTAACATGTTACGTTATTATTTATTACCAAATGTGTGATCGAACCTGTCTAACATTCAACATTCTACCATAGCATCCAACTCTCCCTGTCTGTTTGTCCTGTAACCAGGAGCAACTATACCAAACACCTCCTGCTATACATGCTGAAAGGCACATTTTTAGGAGGTAGTCCACGCGGTGGAAGAAGCCAGTAGAAACATCTTGAGACTTAATGCCATCGACTGCCCAGTCGTAATCTATGCATTACCGAACTGCCACATGCCAAATACATTTCATTATTTTATCCTGTTTCTTCTTGGAATGTCATGGTGGAACCTTTCTCTGAAACGACCTAACTTAATGGACAGCAACAGCTGGCCCTTGCCACATGTTCAAGCCCGGCCGCCTGCGTTACTCTTCCACAGGTAAACAGCGTGTCGGCCCGAGAGCAGCTGGCTCAGAGCATCAGGGACCTGACGGCGGCTCTGGCCGAGCGCCACGCGTCGCTCACCCAGGCTCTGGAGATGGCGCGCAAGAAGCGAGGCGAGGCGCTGTCGGCCCAAGTAGCGGAGAGACGGGGCCTGATGGAACACACGGGGCTCATGGCGTTTACCCAGGAGCTACTGAAGGAGACGGACCAGCCCTGCTTCGTGCAGGCTGCTCGCCAGACCCACAACAGGTTTTCTGTTGTTATCTTATCTTATTTGTTTTGGCAAATACCTCTGCTGAGATTTTATTTTTATATGAGTTTTTCCCATTCAAACAGCTTTTACTCACATTGAGCTGGGATTCGCAGCCTAAAATAGCCCCCAAGAAATTCAAAGTGTACTAAAAGTGAAACATTTGCTAAAGAATACAGTTCACAGCTGTAAATAACCACTTAAAAAACAATCTTTTTGTAATTAAGTGACATTAAGACAAAGTTACATTGCTGTTTTCTATCCCTTTTTGCCGTTTGTTGAGACTAAGGACAACAAAGCATGACGCCACCCGTCCTCCTCATCAGTCTGTCTCACCCCTCTCCTTTCCTCCTTAATTCCTCTAACACCCCTCCCCCTGTTTTTGCCCTGCACCAGGTTCAGCACCGCCATCGAGAATCTCCAGCATTTCACTCTGGCTGCCGACCCGTCCTTCAGACACTTCCAGCTGGACGTCTCCAAAGAACTCAAACTCCTGACAGAGTTGAACTTTATCCAGGGTGAGGAGGGGAGTGATGGGAGAGTGGGAGCGTAAGGTAAAGGGAGGGTGACGCGATAAGAAAGCAAGGGAGTAGACAACGACTGCATCTTTCTTATCTCTCTTGTACCGTCTCGTGAAGAAGAGTAACATAGTTGTTAGTAAACGGTAAATGGTCTGTACTTAATCATTTGTACACTACATGACATCATTCACCCATTCACACACTGTCAGGAGAACCATACACAGTGACACCTGCCCATCAGTAACTAACATGCACACACTGTAGTCGCAGCTACAGGAGCAACATTGGGTTAAGTGTCTTGCCCAAGGACACATCGACATGCGGGTTAGCCGGGCCTGGGATCAAACCGACTACCCTCTGATTGGAGGACGACCGTGCTCCCCACTCACCCACAGTCACACATTTGGATCCTAGATCTGAGTCCTTGCTCAATATTAAAACCCTCTCTGTCCCAGTTCCACTGGCTCCAGTGGTCGACACCCAGCACACGCTGGCCTACGACCAGCTCTACCTGTGCTGGCGACTGCCCCAAGACTCTGCGTCCGCCTGGCACTTCTCCGTCGAGTACCGTCGCAGGGGTGTGGTCCCGGGGGGAGCGCCTCGAGGCGGCATCAGAGGAGGCTTGTCCGCCGCCCGCTGGGGCTGGCAGCGGTTGGACGAAGTGAGCGGCACCAGCGCGGTGATCGACAGGCTGGAGATGGACAGCGTGTACGTGCTGCGGGTGAGAGGCTGCAACAAGGCCGGCTTCGGCGAGTACAGCGAGGAGGTGTACCTGCACACCCCTCCCGCGCCAGGTGAGAGGACACACGGGTGTTTTTTTTCGCTGTGTCAGAAGGGGTCAAACTCCGCCGTAGGTTTGCAGGGGCTCGAGTTATAGCTCTAATAACCAGCTGAGAGAACGCGGGGCTGGTAATATTTTCACCTGGTGAGACTGCGTGCGAGTCATTACGGAGGAATGTGGTCCTGCAGATATCTGCAGGAGCAGGGGTCCTTCGCCGGGTATCTGTAACAAACGGGCATATGTAGTCAAATGAGGACAGAGTTTGAGGACGTGCAGAAGGCCGCTGGAAGTTGAGGGATATGAAGTGGGGATAGACGAGATGTAAAAGTTAGGACACTAAGGAAATCCACATGAACAAATGGTTTAAAATAGTAAAAAACTGGACTACACTTTCTGAAATAAATTGAGATTATCCTTTAACTTGCTCTATATTTAAAGAGAAGGAAGACGAGCCTCCATCACCAGTATAACGTATCCAGAATAACTTATTTCCACTAACAAGAGTGTTTTATTCTATTTTTTTGGTTAATGTCTCACATAAGTGATTAAGTGAATAATATGGAAATGTCATATCCATAAACTGTAGTTTCTGTCACTCCGGCGCCATTCATTTCTTCACACCCGTTGTTATTTAAAAGCATACAGGATGGTTTCCACGATAAGCACCTAATAATTCATTCTCTTTTTTTCTGCCCATTCTCATTTCCTCTTCCCCAATTTTTGTCCACCGCTTTCTCACACCCTCACTTCATTACTCTTTTATTACTTCATGCCTCTCTCACGCTTGATTCCCATTTCCCAGCATCATACTTTATACAGCTTTATTCCTCCTCTTCCGCGCTCCTTCCCTGCCGCCAACCTACGCGCCTCCTATGGAACGTAAGAAGTGCATTCACATCTCTCGACCAGCCCGCTGTCTCCTCATGCCCCTCTCCTCCCTCTCTCTGTGGTCACCCCATGCATCCTCTGTTCTTCCACCCCCACGGAGAGCCCCACTCACCCCTCAACCTCCTGCTCTGTCAGAGCACTGACGAGGTTTGCAGTTTGTTAAGACCCGAGGCTTAACAACGTGGATCGATTGATTGGTTGAATTGAGTGATTGGTGACTTCCTTTGTGCCTGAGTGGGCTGTTTCTTCTCCCTGCCGTTGTGGATGTTTCCTCTATAAATCGTTATTCCTTAGGAAGAATCTGCATTCCCCACATCCAGAGCTTCTTTGTTATACCTTCTATATTTTACTTCCCCAAGTCATCAATGTATAGATGAGTGTCCTTTTCTCTTCCAGTGTCGCAGCGAGGAGCTGCATGCCTGCTCTCTCCCCCTAGTCGCTCCTCTCAAGTGCATCGTATTCTCCTCATTTATCTTCTCCCTGCTGCTTTCAGACTGTAAATCGGTACAACTTTCCCTCTGTCGCCTCCCAAACGTCTCCTGCCGCTACTGAAACCCCAACAGGTCATATTTGAATGCACCTGTCTCTTTGTCCTCCCCCTCACGCCTGCTTCTACTCCCCCCCCCCCTGTCTTTTTCTCTGCTGTGTCGCCCCTCCCGGTCTCGCCCCAGTGCTCAACTTCTACCTGGACTCTCGCTGGGGTCTCCATGCCGACCGGCTGGTGGTCAGCAAAGAGCAGCGCTGTGCTCGCAGCGTCCCAGGTCTGTCCCTGATGCAGGCCGCTGACCACGCCCTCACTTCCTGTCACCTGACCTCCGACCTCCTAGTGGGGGACGTAGCTATCACCCAAGGAAGGCACTACTGGGCGTGCTCAGTGGAGCCTGGGTCTTACCTTGTGAAGGTTAGTTCATTTGAGTAGTAAATCTACTGAGTACTACATAATATCAGCGCGTACTGACAGTATGTGGAAGGTTTGCTTTCAGGTTTTCCTTGATCTTAATTTTCTGAATACATAAGAGACTATTAAATTAAACAAAACTAATATTCGTTTTACAAATGTGAAACCCTGATGGCCCTCAAGCTGACCTGCATTGTAACAGTGCACATTGTAAAAATGAATGTTTCTACAACTATTAGTGGGAAATGATGATGGCTTTCTCTCTTTGAACAGGTGGGAGTTGGTCTGGAATCTAAACTGCAGGAATGGTTCCACCTTCCACAAGACATGGCCAGTCCCCGGTGAGCACCTGCACCACCTAACTGAAGTTCACGTGCTTGGATAGTTCTATTTCAGGGACGAGTATTCTTCTTTTATATTTCACACAAGATCGATAGCTCAAGTTACTAATTGCTTTTCAGATTAATATTTTGTGTTGGATGGAATGGAAGTTGGTCACAGTTGGTGAGGATGAGCCACCAGGGACACGACCCAAATGCAGGGAAAGCAGATTAACAAGAGCCAGGCAGTCCAAACAGACAAACAACTCCACAGGGACAATCGAAAATCTAAATTTATCAACGTCTTGGGCGGCACTAAGAGCTCGGTGCAGAGACGGTGTACAGATTTCTGCAGATTGTGAAATGTGTGGCCAATGGCTGGCTTATACCCACTGGGCCTTTGTCATTCCACAGTTCTGTACATCTTTGATTCCTTCGCTTGTGTCTCCTTTCCCTCTGTTCATTCAAGATAGCTTGATATGAACTATTAGTAATATCAACTCAACTTTGATTAGGGAATGGGACTAGAATTGCATCTGAGCGACAACCAGTTAATACGAAAAGGAATTGTAGAGTCCCATCATGGTTTCAGATCATTTTAAGCTGTGTGTCATGCCTCTTTCACGGGGAACACATGTATCTTAGCACATAGCTCCTCCGGCAAGACGAGGAGTCACAAAACGGAGAAATGAGAATGAGGCTCACAGTCCACATGCAGCAAATCAGACTGCAAGGGCAGACGGGAAGCAGGGGAGTGAGTGTGAAATGTCATGCAACTTCAAGGATGATGAAGGGAAGCCGGAAACCGTGAGCTGGTGGGTGAGGAAGGTCAGGTGACTGGGACAGGACAAAAGGTCAGAGGGAATCTGGTGCTTAGGAAGAGAAAAGCAATGAACCTGAAAGGAGGGACCTCACAACAAGTCTGGATTAAGTCAAATAGTAATATAACCAGCATGCATTGTGCGCTGGTGATCAGTTCTGCACAGGACCGGCTCATCCCGAACTAACCAGTTGTTTCTAACCCCATTTGCCTTGTTATTCCTGATACAAAAGTAGTGTCCGGTTGGAGATATTTCACATATGTACGTTAGCAAATCCTTCAAAGAGTGATATCCTCATTATCGACATGTCAGACTTACATTTCAAAGGGTAAAAAAGTGCCACGCCCAACATGATAATTGTTTTCTCTCTCTCTCTCTGTCCAGCTACGACCCGGACAGCGGTCATGACAGCGGCGCAGAGGACGCCCTGGACTCTGCTCCGCCGTTCTGTTTCCTCACTATGGGGATGGGTAAGATCTACCTGCCCCAGCACAACTATCACCACCACAGTAGCCATGGGAACGGTACCCGAGACCCCATCACCAACGGGCCCTCCTCGTCCGCGGGCCTCACCTACCCGTTGCCTCCTCGGCTCGGTGTGTGCCTTGACTTTGAGAAGGGTCGCGTCACCTTCTATGATGCCCACTCCCTTCGACCTCTGTGGGAAGGTCACGTGGATTGCTCCGGCCCCGTGTGCCCGGCTTTCTGTTTCATTGGCGGGGGGGCTCTGCAGCTGCAGGAGCTGGTAGCCAATCGCAATGCGGACCAGACTCCGGTCAGAAGGGTTACCATCCAGCCGCGTGTTCTTAATTCAAAGAACAACTGACGGCTAATCTGAGGTCACGTGGTCATTTTGAATGTATTTGGTTATTTAAGTATTTACTCAGCTAGAGCAAAAATAATTAGACATCTCAGTGATTTTCTTTTCTATTTATTTTTCTTTTTACAAGAAAATGTTTCTATAGCAACGAATATGCAATGTAATTAAGTTTCTAAAAAGAGTTATTGCTTAAGTAGTGTCTGGTATATCCAGCACTTAATATTAAATGATATCTTTGATGCTTGCACTTGTAGCTATTGCATACATTTATAAAGCTAATGTAGATACAATGTTGTCCTCGCTGTAGAAGCTTTTACTCGGTTATTTCATGCTCTTAATGTTTAAAGCTTAAGAACTGTTATGTTTTAGAGATATTTGAGTGTAAAAAAAGGCCTATAATGAATCTCTAATTAAACTTGTGTTGAACCACACTGATTTCACTCCCAACCAAAGTTATTGTTTTTCTGGGATGTAAATGTAGTAAATTAGAGACAGAGAGGAACAATGAAGCACTATTGTAATTAGAAGCTCCAATTATACCTCTGCTGAATAGCTAATCACTGGTTGCCGCGATTCTGTTTGTGCGTTGCTGTTTTGTGTTTCCAGTACATGAGTCTCACGTGTGTGTGTGTGTGTGTTTGCTCCACTATGTGCACGGGTGCGTGTGGCTTTACTGATACCAGCATTGATTCAATGGCTGACGTTAACAAGTTGTCCTTTTTTGTTTCTTTTTTTCAACCTTGCTTGATTGTACGTTAATGAGCAGTGCTTCTTATGAAACGATTTGAAGATTTAAAAAAATCCATGTAAACTTCACCTGCTGGCAGAATATTTGCAAAATAAAAATGGATTAAGGACATAAACACCGAATAAACACAGATTTGAACTACTAAAGCACCTTCTGTGTCCTTTTGATGCTTTTTTGCTCGAGTTGAATGCCGCTCCTTCCAGGTTTCGTACTTACAATCTTCTCTAAGAGGACGACTCTCTCCGGTTTCACCAGCAGGGCGCAGCAAGTCATAGCAGAACGAGGCGGATCTCGCCCGCCTCTTCTGAACACACTGCAACTATTGTCATGGTGAGAACATTTATATTTGGAAAGGAAAATAATTGGACCCATTTTCCATACAAATAGTTCTTCTTTATGGGATTTTGGCAGGCACACACTTGAAATTGCGTAGTTAGAAATGGTAAAAAGCTGGCATCTTTTTTCAAATCTCCTAAAACTGTACATTTGCTTTTATAGATCTCTTATTTTTGTGGGAATATATACCACCTGCTTTTTTTTAACATTACTATTTAACAGTACAGTTTACAGCTTTTCAGTTCTATTTTTATGTTTTATTTTGAAAGGTAAAATGTGTATGATATAAGGGGCAATATGAGACAATGATAATGAGGAAAGGGAAGAATTCAAAGTCTTTGCTTAATTATAATCATATACGCATTGCAACACTTTGTTAGATTATCTTGGATATAATAATAATAATAATAAAGGACCCTAAACCGGAACACAAACCTTTATTAAATTGGCCAATCTCAACAACCACCATGAAGTAAATCAAGATGATTCGCGCCAAGTTTTGACATGTGCAGAATAGCATTTCCTGCCAAAAGTTCTCTTATGTGAAATAATGGCACAACACTTACCATGAATCACACTATTTTTTACACACATAAAACGTTCACATAACAGCAGACGTAAATGACTTGTTCTTTAGTCCTACATGGCCTCCAAACTAGTGAATATAACACGAGTGTATATAAATTACACAGGATGCCACCGATTGGCTAATCACTGATGAAGGAGAGATTCTGGCTCAATGACACACATTGAATGAGAGTAATGAATAGGGATGGCCATCTGCTTTTGATAGAGATATTAACGCCTCACATGTGTACGTACTCAGCATTCCTTATGTAAATGTAATGTAAATTGCGTTTACCTTTTTATGGGCTTCAATATGAAAATCCACATGTGTGTTTAATTGGACCAACATTAAAGGGGAAACCGTTGGGGGAATTGAGTTTGGTTCGACCACAAAGGAAAAGTAAAAATGTTGAAGAAGAAAAGAAAAAATATATATTAAGTGTGCAGCCTTGACACAAGCCAAGGTTCTTTTTAAACCTCCTAGTACACGCAGATAAAAAGTACTGCTTCCAAAGGGAGGCTTAAGCTCTGATCCCCCGTGATATAGAAGAAGTGGAATGTACTGTAAAGCTTGAATGCAGCACGACACAGCGCTCCACCCGCCCCCTTGAGTTTGCTGCACCTCTCTTCTTTAGTCCAAATCTGTAACAGATTGGGTTTAGTCTGACTGGAGGTATGCAGCCACAACACCACATGTAGGGGTCTGCATAATCCCTCCACTAAGTACTAAGCACACAGCATGGGCATTCTTTAAAGAGCTGGCAGGAATTACCAATACATAATCTCCATGATCATCATTTAACATAGTTCAGTGGGAGAGTGAGTGTGTGGGGGGGGCATTGTGATATCTGAGGGATCTGAGAGCTGTGTACAATCTGTGAGAGGCAGCGTGCGAAGCCATCTGGAGAACACATAGAAAATGTCTGCTGGAAACAGCTCACCCAACTGTCTTAAACAACGTGAAGCTAAACCACATGTTCAAGACCTGATTTGTTTGTTGAATCCGCTGTGGGGTTTCTAGGGCCCGAAGAGGAATACGTTGTTTATGGGGAGCCGGCTTCAAACTATTCTGCTGAGTCAAAACAATCGTCGTGGATCTGTGCGGTGGAGGCCTGCAGTAGGAATTAAGTAGGCAGGGGGTGAAATAAAAATTTAAAATGTGTTTCTGCCGCAGGCTTAGTTCATGACAGCTGCTACTTGCACTTTATTGCTGTGGACGTTTCATTCGATTGTGGATTAATTATTGATATTCATAAGAACAAAACCTCCCCATTACAATCCCAAGAGGTGGCGTCTCTTCATTTCTCCCTCTCCATGTGCAACAGGTTATTTCTAGAGCAATTGAATCCCACTCACGTCAATCATTGGTCTTACTAAGTTTGCTCTGCCTTAAAACTCAATAAGGTTGCCACGGTATTATTCTTCCGGACGTGGCCACAGCTGAAACGTTTATTTTTCACTTTCTCGTCCATCCATCCACCCATGAGACGGAGCGGCATGAATAATATACTACTTCCTGCTTTTATCTCATTGATAATCTGCATGGAGGTAGAAGGGGAGGAAAAAAAATCAATCAGCTAAATGTTGACTAAGAGGATTTGAGGGGCACGGCCGGGCCGTCTTCCCTCACTATAACAAATGAGGGGTGACAGTAATGGCAGACTGAGCCCATATGGCCACATACTGTAACCTAGTGCGCCGCGATGGTGAGAGAAAACACAGGGCTAATTCAGTTTAACATTTGCGCTCCAGCGGCGTATCGCCCTGCATTGGATTTGTGTGCTGCACTTTGATTTTCTCTGCTTAATGATGCAACGAGTATTATGCAATGATTTGTAGTTTACCACACGTATCAAACTGCACGCAGAGCACGTTTGGACGACTGGAGCGTCGGCTGACGTCAACGGCGCCATTACAGGAATAGTTTGACATCTTAGGAAATAAGCTTGTTCGCCTGCCTGTTATAACTTAGATGAGAAGGTCGATGCCACTATTGTGTTCCTTTAGTAAACATAAGCATATCATCATTCATTTTTACTTTCCTATAGATAACGGAATCCATGTTGAAAAATACCAAAGTTCCACTTTAAAAAGGTCATAATATGTTGAGGTCATGTGACTAGAATGAAAGCTTTCTCTGAAATGTGGGGATGTCCTCTAGAAACGACTTCATTCTGAACCCAAGATAATGGTTCACTGGTTTAAACCACCAAAGTCTGTCTTTGGGATCACGCGTGTGAAGTGGACCAAACTATATTACACAGCTTACGGCCCTAAAGTGTAACTTTAGGGCTGGCGCAACATAAGATATATAACTCCACTGTCTGCCTGTACCTAGGATATTATTGTTTCCATAAATCCGAGGTGTGGAATAACATTTTAGCCAGACTAATGACCCGGAATTTTTTGTAATAAATGGCATGAGCAGGTGTGGGACCATCGCACATGTGGTTAGAAATCAAGATTTCTGCTTGAGCTTTATGTACTATGTGACACATCCATTCAGGGAGCAAGTAAGTCAGGACACAGCAATTTTTGTGTGGTTTTCAACCGCGGTCAAAATATGCTGAGTCGGACCTCGATAGCCCCTTGCACACGGTTAAAAGTGAAAGGCAACTCAAACCAGTGTGTCAACAGGGGATCTGTAAACCACACGTTTCCTGGACGGCTCTGTCAAGACCAGCTGTGCATACAGCCTGCATGGTCCTGTGTACAGAAAGAAGGAAATAAAAGACAGACAGGGGAGGTGGGAGGGGGGGGCGAAACAAAGAAAGAAACAGACGTGTAACAACACATAGCCGACAGGAGTACACAAAACACGGAGCAGAGGAGGGGAAGCCGGTACTTGATCTGTGAGAAGAGAAAAACAGTCTCTGAAGTCTGACAACTCGTAGTGCTATCTGTTACCGCGTCAATACTTCACGACAGCCCACCCCGGCCGCCTCGTCTGTCCCTCCGCACCTTCCAGATGCTCACGCGGTGAAGGGGTGAAAGGTTGGCAGGTGCCTGGGGGAGCGGCAAGGAGCCTCAGGGGTCAGATTTCTGAGAGGTCAAGCAGTTGCAGTCTTTGGAGTTGCAACTAGTGGGGGGGAGGGAGTGAGGAGGGAGGGAGGGGAGGACAATATGGCTAGTGTCGAAGAGCTGGAGATGGACGGGACCACAGAGCAGCGGCCTCACCAGAAAAAATAAAAACCTTAATTTACGGGCAACGACGGACAGCCACGCCCGCCTGGGGCGGCCACAATCAGCTTTAAAAGGTATTACCCACCGCCCGGCACACAAATCCTTAATCCTCGACCTTTTTCATTCCCAACATAAAGTCGATCATAGTCACGAGGGCATCGACAAATGTACAGTGAATTTGTGTATTTCTTGTTCCCAAACTGATCTGTAATGTGGCCGCGCCTTCCAAGTGGCGTTTATTGACAAACTTCTCAATCATTAAACCCTGCGGCTTATTTAAATGCAAATTGCATTGTAATTAGTCTGTAGAACCAATCAACAGCATATCGATGTGCGTCCAGATCGCTGAACCCATTTGATTCCTCCGATCACGCAAAGCAACTTGACTCGAATGTCGAGCCGTATCTAGTGGAGCAGGAAAGCACATCGTCTGAATAATGAGAGACCCAGGGCAATTTATCGTATGCAGGCAGTGATGCTGACCGGACTTAATGAGGGTTTTTTGTGTATGTAACTTCATGTTTAGCTCGTGTTTGGTTATCTAATGCGTGGCCCGTTTTTCTCCAGAGCCCCTTCATTATAACAGTGAAATAAGGCGATACAATTTGCAATGTCTGCCTCGAAATCAATAAGGTATTGGCAGGAGATGTGTTGTCCTGCTGACGGGTTACAGCTGCACACGGCGAGCAATCTCATTCACCTCTGCAGTATCTCCCAGCGTGCAGTGCGTCTATCAAATGAAACAATGCAGTGATCAGATTAAACCACTGGACCACATTCCCCCTCCTTCTCCGGTTACCATCCGTTATGTAAACATAAGACAAAGTCAGTTTGTTCTAGTCTAGACATGCAGCCCTACATCTTCCGCCCCCACGGCGAGCACACAGCACTGACCCACATTAATACATTTATAATCAATACCTCCCCAGGTCCCGTGCACAGACTCGCCCATCAGACGTCGAAGGAAATAGTGCAGTCCAATTTAAAATGGCCTGCGGGGAACTTCCATAACCATGTGCCAATTAGTTCCACTGTCAATAATGGTAATGCTAAAGGACAATGTGTTCCAGGGTGAGAGGACAGGACGGATGGAGGCAGGAGGGAGACATCATCAAGCGTATGCCCGTTGTTCATTGTTAATGGCTGTTACACTGACAAGACGCATTTGATCTCACACACACACACACACACACACAGATGCATTTTGGTCCGTGGACGTGGTTGAGGGGGTTGTGTTGAGGCGCGGAATTACACAAGCCATGAAGATAACAAGTAATGACGTCTCATAAAGGTCAACAAACAAAGCACTAGTAGGACAAACACAGGCTGTGTGATGAGAGTCATTAGGACAGCGTGGAGAGAGAGAGAGGGAGAGGGAAGGAGAGAGAGAGAGTGAAGATACAGGCACATTCCTTGGTTGGTTCACTGTGGCCGTCACACCAGCAGCTGAAACAGGTGCGTGTTTTACTCGGGGGGGGGGGCAACAAGGGCAACACAAGTGCTCCGCTCACATGGTTCGGACTGGTCACACTTGACCACAGTCTGACCTCACACACACTCGCGTAGCTCAAGGCTTCATTAAGTAGGCCCTAAGTAGAGCGGGAGTCTCACAGCTATTATCTCGGCAATTTAATGAATACCCGCCCCGTCCATGAGTGATCTTGGCTCGAGGATACTCGCGAGCGGCGTGCTTATCGTCGTCGAGACTTTGGCCGGACACTGCTTCGTATTCGGGACCCCGGGCGGGTGCTACCGCGGGGCCCCTGCAGGCCGATGCTCCTGTTTGATTTGTGGTCGCCTCGCCTGTCTGAGGAGCCTCTTCTGGAGTCATCCCACCTTCTGTGCTTTGCTCGACATGGTCTGGCCAGGCACAAGAAGGGATCCGCGAGGGCCAGGTGGCGTTTCAAGTGCTCTCGTTCAAGGAGACGAGACCAAGCTAACCCTCAATGGGGAGAACAAACGGGCTCATCCGTCAAAGCTTGACTTGCAAGTTTTTATGTTGTAAAATGTTATGTTGTGTTAAAAGGTACTTTAATAATCCCTCAGTGGGGAAATCTGATTCACACTTTAGAATTTACCACACACGGGACTTAAAGGCGTGCTTTAACCAAGGTGCCTGCCAGAGTTGCCTTTAAGTAGTTGTCATAAACCTGGCAAAATAAAGGATATTATCCTGACTTTTTTATTTTCTCTGTCAAAAGAGTTGAGACTTTTTCTTTAAAAATGTTGGATTTGACATAGACTTACATAGTTGACTTAAGTAAAACATTGAGGCCCCAAAGGCATGAAAAAGGGGGCTTTTTCAATTCTCCAGGCTTTCAAAACTAGGAGTTTGTGGGATTTCTTGGCTTGTATTGTAAAATTTCTCCTGAATAAACATTCGTGATCAAGCTTGAGGTGAGAAACGCGCTTTAACCAGCGTTAACGAGTGTTAACCAGCCTTAACCAGCGTTAACCAACGTTCGCCAATTGGTCTGACATTTAGCTTCCAGGCTCAGTTTCATTTCTTTCCAGAACAGAATTTCCCAGAAGACCCTTTAGAGATTTCGGCTTGGTTTTGCCAGGCTCACATCTCCTTCCTGTGCTTTGGGTACCAGAGGAGTATCTGTTCTCTCGCTGGTACCAGAAGACAAAAACCTGAAAAGAGGAGATTGTGACGCACTTTTAGTCACTATTTCCTCTTCCCAAAAGCACACACACCGAATGACAACACAACACACAGCAATGTTCTCCAGCTCAGGAAACAGAGGGTTCCTGTTTTTGAGTCCAGGCTCTATTGTTATCTTTAACAGCGTTTTGACGGTACATGTTCGGCGCAGCTCTCTCCTTCTGTCTGGTTTTCTCTGCCTCCCCGACTGTTGCTTCAAACCTTTGAAATATTACACAGTTATTATCCAGCCAAATCTTGATCCCCATTTAGCCCTTTAGTAGCACACATTCTTATCGGGACCTTTCACTCTACTAATATTGACAAAGCCATGAGATAGAGTCAACACAACCCTCCATTACCACCTTTCCTGTTTTATCTATGCGCCTTATCTTTGGTCACACGGACCCCCGTTGAGGATCAAGTATCCCTTCAGCCCCCGCTGGGTCTCTACCGATCCCTTACTCAGTGTCTCCATGCTCACGGTGCTGCATGCGGTCTATTGAACAGTCGAGAGGTGTTTGGAGGATTGAGGAAAAGTCTCGATAAGCAACAGCTGGATTTAATGCACCATTAAGGTCATTGGTTGTTCAAGTTGCACCTGCACCCATGATCCCCCCCACCCACCTGACCTTACCCTGTCTAAAGCTCTCTCCCATGTCTGCTCCCTCCTCTCTGTTGCCCTCTCCTCTTTTGTCCACATTCCCAGACCTCCCTTTCTTTTTTATTTCTGGCCCTCTCAGCTTTCTCACTCTTGTCCTGTGGACTATGAAATCCCCCCCGCCCGACCTCCCACTCTCTTCTCTGGTTCTTCATCAGGAGCAACTGGTTCCCCTCTCTCTCATTCTACCTCCCTAGATCCCTGTCTCCTCGTCTGTCTCACTCTGCGTGTCCCCTCTGTCCGTCTCTCCTTCCTCTCTCTGGACGTCTCGCTCTCGTTCTCTGGGTTTCAGCGCCCCTCCCACTCGCAGGCTGTTGTGTTGTGTCTGCCAGGCCTCCTCGGCTGGAACACAGGTTTCCTGAGTAGTGAAACGGAACCGGAGCTGGCAGGGAGATACACTGAGAAACGCCAGCTCGACTGTTCCCACTGAGCGTCTCACGGCGCTGCGACGCGAGCAGAGCGCAGCACGCGCCGCGATGTAGGGCATGATGAGGCATGTTGTGGGCGATCCCACCTGGGTTCAGTGTGTTCCATCGATGCAGTGGAGTAACTTTCACAGGTGTATCATATCACAACTTACTAAGTGTGGCAAGGAGCTCCAGCAGGTTTCGGGTTTAAGATCTTCACCTTTTTGTTGACCATCATATTTCTTTTAGACATAAATGTGTATATATGTGTATATGAGGCTATTACAGAATTGACAGAGAAATTAGGTGACAACAATCAATTATAATGAATAAATTATAAATGAATATATAATAAATGACTAAGCATCTGTTTTTGCTTGTTATAATTTGCGTTGGGATTTTTATCAATGTGAAGATGTTTCCTTTATTATTTTCTGAGATTTTAAATGGGGACATTTTTGAAAGCCCACTAAATACTTGCAACACATCGACCAATAATGGAAGTCATCATTAGCTGCAGCTGCTTGTGTCACAGCTGCTTGTGAGGCAGCAAACGCAGTAAACAGGACAAACATTTGGGCCGTAGCAAGTATCATGACAGTTATACAAAGCCATTCACAAGATAATCATCATCTAGTCATCTCGGAACAACATTGCAGACTTGGAAAGACAATCGTGGATTTCAAGATTTATGTTTCAGCACACCAACATAAACCCAGTCTATGTTCCAGTCTTGCATATAACAGTCTCTATAAACAGAAGCAACAGGCTTTGCCCCTCTGGCAGACGCACAGATTGTCACTCACACCATTAACACTGGTGCAGACAAACATAAACGCCGCCATTCTAAGAATAACTCTCCATTTTTCCTAAAAGAATGATGTTTATTTCTCAGTGGCTCTTTAGTGTGTCCCACTCCCCAGCTAACTGGCTGATGTTTAAGTCTACCACTCCTCCTCATTTCACCCTGGAGAGGTCTGTGCCCTCTGCACCTGGAAAGTTCACCTCCCTGAACGAACAGACAGGCCCCCGAGCAACTGAAGAGACACGGAGATCAAACAACAGTCGGCGCCCCGAGGCCCCTAATGAAATTGTTGTTAGATTCCTCACCCTGGAACAACATTAGTGTTTATGGATAGCTTTCAGCTAGCGCTAATGGTAAACTCATTTTCAAAATGTCTTTCCTAAATTAAGAGGATGGCGTGGAGAAACAGTTAAAGGTCTAATGTGAGTTAAAAGCCTGAGTGGGGGCCTCATTATAGACTCAGTTGAAACAAATGGTTTTCTGTCTCTCAACTGACAGGGTGCTAGTGTTGTTAATACATCTGCCAACAGTCTTAGGCAGCGTTTTAATGAAAAACATAAAAAGTGACAACATTTATTGAGAAGTGTAATGAGGGGATGTAGTAATTTATCTTTTTGACCACTGAGGCTAATATCTACAACAAAACCGGAGACACAATAAAGCACGGATTAAGTACAATAGTAATATAATAAATAGTATAGTAATATATATGTATATAGGAGGATAAAAAATCCTGTAAACATTATTTTTGAAACATTTAAAAATGTGGAAAAATACATTGTGATTAATTTGTATTTGAGGTCTACAAATTAATACTAGTTAATCATGTTAAACTAGTTAAGCTTCTGGTTAAAAGGGTTTTTCATTGAGAATAATTAATTTTGTGGAAATTATGACCTTTATAATACAATTCAGTAGATATTTTGGAATTTCTGCAGTAGCATTGACTACATTTCCCAGCAGACCTCACGGCTTACGTCATAAAAGTGCGCTGCGCTGAGGTGGCTTTCGAGAGGTAAACACGTCGGATACTTTATTGTAAATGCATTTATTGAAATAAATGATATTCAACCGAATGAATTGCACCCTCTAGTTTATTTCGTACGTATTTTTTTAATCCCCGCTGCCCAACGATATTTGTTTGGTCTTTATTGCGTGCTGTAGCCATCGATAACGCCCTTAAGCTAGCACTGTGCTAAAGCTAATTGAACGAAGCCTTTCAACCGGTTCCTTTCTGTCTCAGGTGCTTTTCTGCGGCTGCTCGCGTGAGACCCGTCATGACAAAACTTCTGGAGTGGCTGCTCGGCGTGTCGGTGGTGGCGGCAGTCTGGGCTTTGGTCTCCTTCGACCTGCTGGACCTGAGCCTGCCTCAGACCTACAGAGAGGTGGCCTGGCCGATGCCGCCGTACCTGCTGGTGTCATTCGGCTGCTACTCGCTGGCCACGGTGGGCTACCGGCTGGCCACCTTCAACGACTGCGACGAGGCGGCCAAGGAGCTGCTGGAGCAGATCCAGGAGGCCAAAGTGGACTTGAAGAAAAGGGGCTTAAAGATGTAGAAGAGGGAGAAGGACTATGTAGAAACTTTGGAGAGACTAAATGCTTTACACACAACCACTTGTCTGCACGGAAATAGTTGTTGTTTTAGGATGTGCGAAATGTGTCTGATGAAACTCTTCTCAGAAGCGTCACCCTGTTTCTTTTGTTTCCAGCAGACGTGATTGAACATCAATCATTATGCAGCGATCTTTCTTATTCAGTCACCTCTTGCAGATTGGACATCGATCAAATGGGCTTAAAGAAATTCTAAATGATGAGCCTGATGGATGTTGTCTGGGTTTCTTCTAAGTGACAGGACAGCAGCGTGCACCTTGAAGATACAGGTTTAATATTCTTTCCATTAAAATATCTCTTTCATGAAGTGAAACGTGTTAAACTACACCAGCTGGTTTGAAGATGTTTAGAGCTGTTGGTTTCACTGATTAACACGCCCGTGACCAGATTCTTTCAAAATGATTAAAACGGTTCCGCAGTCATGCATTTTGTTGCAAACTCACTTAATCACCTCTGACAGTCACTGGTCAGGAAAAATACAATATGCAACAAGGTTGTTCATCGATAAAATGCCAACAAATGAAACCAGTGTCACACTGATAAAATCTTGAAATATTGTTTGTTTGGACTACGCTTTATCTGTAAAGAGGTGAACATTCCATTGTTCAACTTTCAGACTTGTGCCCTGTACGTTTTGCTGAAACTGAATTAAACTGGAGTCTATTTTCTTCCATTCCTCTGCCTACAGATGTGTGTGTGTTGGAGGTTTGCATAGAGCCAGGAGGTATGCAAGAATGTTCCTTCTCCGAGCACAACCCACGTGGCCCCAGGCCTTTATATCATTTTCTCAATCCCTCTCTCTGTGCAGGAGACAGACCGCTTTTGTCCCATTTTTCTCGTTGACGACATGAACTTATACTTTATACAGCATTTCCCTTTCTTCCCTCACAGAGGTTTTCTCCAATCCGAGAATGTTCGCTATGTAGCCCTGAACTAATCTGATGTTGGCGAGTGCAGTGCTTTTGTTTGCGCTTTTAAATGCTGCCTACGCTCATTTTCAGTGAGCTCCCGCTGGGCTCGAACAAAGCATCGCCTGGCCAAAGGCATCATTACTGGCTTTCAAAAGCTCTCATAACTCAAGAACAAATACAAAAGAGTAAGTGATGCTCTGTGCAAGGCCTGTTGTGTCGTTTGGCTGCAGCCCCACCGTGCCTTGCAATGTCTGCCCCCCCCCGTGAACGTCTGCAAGCTGTTGCAAGAGCAGACTGGATGAAAGGCAACCTGTTATTTAACAGAGAATCTACTTTTGGAAATTAACACCAAAGGGTTTCCTTGGTAGTTGTTGTTCTCACTCGTAACCACGTGAGAAATAGTGAAATCGCTTATCTTTGTCATCATTTTTTTTCCACATCTAACTTTGAAGACATCCATCTGTTTATATCCTGCGGGCTGCCAGACAAACGTACAGATCAGAAAGGGCCAAACATTTTACAGACCCTGTGGATGCAGCGCAAATAGTTTTGTGTCCTTTCCCTTTAATCCTTTATTTCAAACATACAGTAAGCTCCATCCCAGACTCATCTCTTTACGTGATGACAGACATTAATTATAATCCTTGTACAGACAGCGATGTATCAAAAGCCGTCCCATCAGAAAAAGGCACAAAGCTTTTTTATCCTCTTTCCTGGATCTGCATGCTTTGAATTTACTGCCAATGTGAAAAAACGGCATTAACCCCTCTGTTTTTGCCGTGAGTGGCAGTACTTACAACAGAGGGTCCACCTGAGACGAGCACAGTAACATGAAGCACTGAACAACATCCATAATAATAATAATAATAATTGTGAAGCAGTATTGCAGCCCCACCTGAATATTTTAGCTTACCTTAGTATTTCTACCTTCTCTTGACAAGGATCTTATACCTGCAGGAATCAAACTTTCACACAGTCCCACATACATTAAATTAGTAATGTTATCATTTAGATCACTTTTAGCTAAAAACTAAACCTGTAATTCAGTGTTTTTTTTCTATTAAAGACAACTAATGAAGCTGGATTATTATCAATTAAACAACAAACAATTCATCCACTTGTATCCCCGTGGAGGGAAGTTCTGTAGACTTAACTCATACCAAAGTCATCTAAAATCTCTCGGTGATGTAACAGGTTTAAGTGGCCACTTCAATCCTCTTGCTTCAATTTTCCTTTTTTGAAGAGGCGGGCGGGGGGCTTCTGTATGAAAAGCCACTTAACCACACCAGTTTTTTTGTAATTGCTCTGTCCGTCTTACAGTGGCTGAGAAAGATGAAAAACGTGCACAGAATGTCCCTTGTGTTCTGTTGCAAAGTGTTGAGGCGAGAGGCGTCGGATAAATTGGGAGAGGAGCGGAAAGACGCGAGCGAACCGTGCGGCGATGGAGGCGGGCGACAGCGGCAGGGTTGCGCCTGCAGGATGGCCTCACGAGACCCTAAGAAAAAGATTTTAATAGACACCCAGTGACACTCCTGGGAGCAGATCCATCTCGACAGGCTGAGAACCAAAAACTGAAAAATGATAACCTATCATTTTTCTGCACCGCGCACATTTCACTGCAAAACCTCAAACCCATCTACAGACACACAGAGAGAGACGGAATTAGTAATGGAGGACCAGAGCTGAAAGGGATGGAGATTTGATACGGAAAAGAGTGAGCAGTAATGACAAGATGAGGGTGAAGGAAGATGGATACAGAGGGAGAGGGAACGGTTAAAAGATGTTTGGAAGTGAGAAAAGAAGAAAAAAAATGAAAGTGACCGAGGGACACGGACAGGAAACCAACACATGAGCTGGAACAAGACAAATGACCATGGCAGAGTGTGTGTCTGTGTGTGTGTGTGTGAGAGACTATTTCGAGAAGAGCAGACCACACCCTGACCGCCAAAGATGGCAGAGGACAAAAATGTGTCCGGATCGGCCCGGAGCCTGAGCCACATTGCGTGGAACCAAGGTGTTTCCTTCCCATCTGCCCCGGCTGTCATCTAAAGCTTTCACAGGCTCTAAAGCCCGACTCAGACAAAAGAGGGTATAAAAGAGCTTCCAAACATGTCGCTATAATACAAAGGCAGTGTAATCCGAGCATGCATCAGTTGCTGAATAAAAATCCGAACAAGGTCAAAAAGTCACCCGTGGGTTAGTCGATGGTTCTTCTGCTCATCACAAACAGATGCTTTGATTCGTGCACATCACCAGATTGCATTCCAGGGCAGCATCAAGGCTTATAAATGCTCCAAATAGCTACAATCACGTCAGGTAACGTCCCAGAGGCTATCTAAGGCTACTCGTCCTCTGAGTGGCAGCATGCTGGCAGGGAGACTGGCCACCTCAATCTATTGCCAAGTAGGGTACACAATTTGCCCCCAGATTAGTGCGTACTCCCTCTGAACTTGTTCCTTGGCAGAGGCTGCCGCGTAACCGGACGGGGATGGAGAAGGAGAGGACGGACTCTGTGTTGATCATCGTCTTTGGCAGGTTGAACTTCTTCAGTTGCCTTCACAAAGTGCATCCTCCGCTGAGCCTTCGTTATGGAGCTGATGTTAAGCTCGCACTTGAGATCCTGCGTTACGCAGTGGGAACCGAGGAGTCACACGAGGTCAAAGGGGCAGTGAGTGGCAAATCCACAACCATCTCAGCTTTCTTTAGAGTGCTGAGCTCTAAGTTGTTAAGTCCGGAGCAGGTCACCAGATGGTCAGTCTCACACCTAAACGTGGACTCGTCCCCATTAGAGGTGAGTCCCCCCAGGGCTGTGTCATCAGAATCAGAATTCATTTATTGCCACACATGTTACACATCAAGGAATTTGCCTTGGTTTTTGGTCCAATATATGAAATAGAATAAAGTAAGAGCAAAATTAAAACTCTATGAACAGATCAGACTTGGTTCATGAGACCAACTGGTTACGGGGAGGAGCTGTTTCTGGGGGCTTGGTCTTGGTCCTGATGGACCGCAGCCTGCTGCCAGAAGGGACGGGGCTCAAAGGGTTTGTGTCCTGGGTGAGAGTGGAACACGAAGCTCAGCAGGTTGAAGGACTGGTGACTGCAGGGGCAGCTGTTGGCGCACAGGGAGAAGAGCAGTGAGCTCACCCTGCAACAGAGAGACGGGACGATGGTATTGAAGGCACCCGAGGAGTCCAGAAGGCGGTCGGTTAGCGCTTCCTACATTTTAAAATTGAGAATTACGTCGTTGCGTCCCGTGGCCTCCTCATAGTTTTGAGTTTCTCATGATATTGGTTCAGCTCTCTCTGGATTAATCGCTGTAAATCGATGAATGCCTTGTTTGTCTGCTCGTTGGAAACGGTGTGTTTTTTTAAAGCCCCAATTTGTGTCCCTCGTGTCTTGGTATTATATCCAAGCACCATAGCTAAGCATTTCATTTTCAGAAATGTTGATGCTTTGATATTCATTTAGCATTGCAAAATCAGAGAATGGCAATAAAATGTTTGTTTGGCATGTTTAGCATGTTCACAACCTTAATGAACACCATACGTTGTGCAGGGTTATGGTTTTACGCCTCGCACCAAAGTATTAGACAAATGCAACACAATTCATTCTCAAGGGGTTATGAATGTCTGCACAACATTTTGTGGCCATCAATCCACCATATTTCACTCAAACTCACAGTATCCATAGAAGAGTCAGGGCATCAACATGATTCATCTTCTGGTTGCCGTAACTGTGACCCCGACCTTTCAAGTGGATGTAAAGCTCACATGAACCAACAACTCACACAGAGGGAGAACATCTTAAATCTCTGCTCAGGAAGACTTTAATCCACACTGGTTTAAAATGTTAAATACAGCTCTTAAAGACAGCGCCTGATGCACAATACAAACAAATTTCACCTCCTTTGATCATCTTCCCGATATTCAGAGATCAGAGACTCATGCTCTCCTCGCTACCGCCTGCAATGCATCTGATCCACGAATTTGGGTTTAAAAATCTCACGGCATCATCAGCATATTACATTACATTACATGTCATTTAGCTGACGCTTTTATCCAAAGCGACTTACAATAAGTGCATTCAACCATAAGGATACAAACTCAGAAGAGCAAGAAACAAGAAAGTGCAATTTCCTCAAATAAGCCAATTTACAATTTGCTATAGATGAGTGGCGTTATAACTTATAACGAGAATGTCATGTTATGACAATGTCGCCATCAGAAGGTCTTGTGGGTGTGTTCACATTTACAACAGCGTTACAGGTTTCACACTCGCTGTTCACGTTTACTCAACTGGTACGTAAAACGAACGAGTGAATAAAAAGAATTGTCTGCTCTTGACGAGCCAGCGCTCCGTGGAGCCTGTGCTCGGGGTCGGCCGGTTAAGGGGCCTGTCCGCCGGCCCTAATTTACGACCCTCCTTTTGAAAACATTGGGGAGTTGTCAGGTCGGGGCACCAGCCTTTGGTACAACAGCTGTTTTCACTGTCACGGCAGTAAAGCTCCCCTGGGAAAGGAGAGACGGGAACAATTGCTCGTCATGCAACTTGCACGAGCAAAGCATCATAGCTGGAGAAAAGGAGAGCTGTGTGTGTGTGTGTGTGTGTGTGTTGCAGCTTGACAGAAGGTCGAGATAAAGACTGTGTGCTTAGTCTTCATGCCAAAAGGCAACCTTAGTGGTAATGATAAACATGGTCCTCATTGTTTTGCCATGGTCTCTGTTGGAGCTGGTTTCCAGACACTTTGGCCTTGATTGCGTTTAACTTCGGTCACATGTCGTGTGTGTGATTAATCATCCAAGCTATTTGCTCCTGTGGAGATGTTGAGTGTAATAGAAGAAGTAGAAATGGGCTTAAAATTACCTTATTTTTAAGAGGGAAGTGTAATCTAGCTTTAACGTTTACTATGTTCTACATTTGCCATTTAATAACATATAAATCAACATTTTGTTCTGATGTAAAATCAAAGCAAACGGAGTTATAACACTTCAACTTGAGACGGATACGAATGCCTGAACCAAACTTATTAGCAATCCAAATAGTTCCAGAGATATTTCCTTCAAAAGCAAAGAAATAAAAGCAAACACACATTATATGGATGATAAAATAAATTAAACATGAACGCATTACTTAGAAATAAACAGAAAAGGCTGTTCGGGTTTTCTAAAAATATCTTTAATTTCACATGAAATTTTCACATTTAGCATATTTATCAAACTTTTTTTAATTTTTTATATATATATAATTTCTATATATATATATATTTATATATATATAAATATATACACTTTTGTTTTTACTTACACATGTACAAAATTAGGTAACAAGAATTCAGATAAAAAAGATTGACTTCAATGGCAGTCATACACCGCTGTGCCTTGTTGGTCGAGCCTGTCAGGAGCAGATCTGCTTGGCGACTTTGTTTCATACCGTGACTCGTCTCTTTTGAACCGTGAAGAAATTTCCTCCGCCTCTCAAATTGGCCTGACTATGAATGTTTTCAAATCATCCAAAACCGCGTTAAATCGCCTGCTCTAAATAAGTGAACTCCGCGTTGAAAACATGAGAGGAGAGCACCGCGATGCTCCAGCACTCCATGTAAGACAGTTTAACAAATACAGTGGCAAGATCCAACGCAACGGAGAAGTCCAGCCTCCGCAAAACACACAACATGTCAGTGTTCGCTTTTGTCAGAAAAAAACATTGTGTCTCGTCTCTTTCAAATCAATCCTTTCCTTTTTCCTTTCTCTCACATCTTTGCCCTTTCACACGAGTACGAACTGTACCAGGAGACAGCGAGAGAGAGAGAGACAGAGATGCTCCGCCGGCCCCGACAGCAAACATTTGCCTTGGTGAGCACATGGTATGTACAGTAAAACATCTCAGCTGCAAATGTTATAAATTATCTTCACAGAACGAACACACAACACAGTTGGATGTAGTGCGTTTTAATGTCTCGTGTCATCTGATATCAGTGTGTGTGTGTGTGTGTGTGTGTGTGTGCGTCTGTACTGTGCGCTGTCAGTGCTACAGTATACAAGCACGTGGTCGAGTTCCGAGATGATCGGTTGTCATTAGAACGGGTCCCCCCTCCGTGTGTGTGTGTGTGTGTCGGTCAATGCTACATTTAGAGAATCACATGGGACACCAACGCCACTCGATACCGTTACGATAACAATTACAACAAGTAATACACGACACGCGAGGGTGGAATAGTGTACAGGTCGGAGTGATGACTGATCTTTGGCTCATAAAAGGTGAGAGATTACGTTTCCGCTGAATGTGGATTAATCTCATCTAAACGTACAGCTTCCCAGCTTCTCTCCTCTTCGGCCACACTAGCCCCCCCCCCCCCCCCCTCATTTTCTTTATAATGTCTTCTCGCGTCATCCCACGAGCATGTTTTTCTTTGAGAATGCGACTCGAGGGGAGCCCGGCCTTTCCCAGAAAGATACGACCAAGCAACACGCTTCGTCTCAGATTCTCAGCAATTGCTCAGCATTTTCAAGGCGGGCGAGCCTCTCCCTGTGACCGGCACCGGGCGTGGAAAACCGTCTCTTGAGTCCGGGGCCCCACGGACTGTCTTCGTCGCGGTCCCTGAAAAGAAAGCCTGCTGGCGGCAGTCCATTCCGTGTGCTCTCAGTGCAACAACAGCAGCAATGAGGGCGGGAGTAGCAGGGAGACGGTGGAGAGGGACGCAGCCGCCGGCGCGGAGTTTGACCGAACGCTCTTCTGGACGTCTGGCAGGATCACGACCGGGTCGTCCGCTTGAAGATGGGAGATAAAAAGGAGGCGCATTAGTGCCACATATTTACACGCCGACGTAATCCCGGGTGGGCCCGCGCAGTTTTAAGATCGGGGATAATTGGCGAGGACGCCGGGTCGGCAAACATACCTGCAGGCAGTCTGTTGGACGGGTTGTGAACCCCGCCCCCGGCTCCAGCCCCACCTGTGCCTTCTTTAGCCACTCGGGGCTCTTGGGAGCCTGAAGGGGAAAAACAAAAACACCATCAATTATCCGGCTCGGGTCTCGCAGCAGCTTAACACGTCCATCACAACCGCGCCGCTGTCCTTTACTCACCGTCAGCGGCCACGACGTCCACCCGGAGCCTGAGGCACTCCTTCCCGTGGTGGTGCAAAGGTTTGGCTGCCCGGGAGGAAACAACACAGGCGTTAGCTAATGCACTCGGCCTCCCCTGGCCCCTTAATTCACAGGCATGCACGCGCCCAAACACACTTGGCAGAAAAAAAAAAAAAAGACGGGAGACATGGGGACAAAGCTTAGGAGGCCATCTGTGAGCGGGCGAAGTGTGTCTCGTCCTGCGGTTTATCTAATTACAGCCGTGGTCAGGGTGACAGCACCGCCGGCTCTCCTAGCAGGGGAAGTGTTGCCTGAACTTGGCGAAGTGAGCCGACGCCCCAGTTAATGTCCACAATAAGGTCAAAGGAGCCGGCCAGCGAGCTGCGGCGTGTTACGCTTAGCAGAAGAAAGAACTGCGCTTCACTCCCTTCAAAGCGATGTGCGTCCCTCTCAAGACGGATTAGAAGAACTCTGGACGCTGCTCGGCTTTTTTCCCATTTAGTCATCATCTCGTCAAAAGCAGAGCTCTCGCGCTTATGAGAACCTGCACAGCGGATGACACTCGGTCCGCCTCGGCTGTGCTTTGTGTCGAGACCGGATTAGCAAATTCTTTCACGCAAGAGTACGATGTTGAACACGGTCAACATTAGCATGTTAATACCATCGCTGAGAGCCCGTCGGGCCCCATCCAGCGTCTTATAACGATTTTGCAGTGAGGATATAAATGCTTTTATACGCAGATATAAAATAGAATACGACACTGTCAAACAACTCGCGACTACTCACAGATGTAATAGTAGCTCTCTCCTTGACGGAACTCCTTTCCCAGAGTGAACGGAGTGAACCGCTGAAACTTCTCGGAGAACTTCTCCGGGGCGTGGGGGGCGAACGGGTGGCCACACTCCCAGCGCATCTGGTCGTAGGATTGGGGCTTGCAGGAGTCGTAGTCCTCGCGCTCCACCATGTACAGCACGTACCGCTCAGCATCCAGCAGCGGCACCTCGCCCTGAGGGTAATGGGGGCAGACGATGTCCAGGTAGTCGTTGAGCTTCACCTCCACGGTGTAGTCGTCCCTTTGGAACCTGCGGGGTGGAGACAGGAGGGGGGGGGGTTATGCAAGTGGCATGGGGACTGAAGACGGTGCTTACAGCAGCGGAGCGGTAATACAGAGAAGCCTCAGAACCGGGGTGATTATATATATCGATCGCCTACACACACCGGCGTGCAACGGGGGAAATCAGAGGAAAGTCAACGAGGACTGGGAGTGAGACGCGGAGGGCGGGGGGGAAGAGAGAGTGAGTGACAAAATGCGTGCGGAATGATCTGCAGGGAACATGCGGATAAATATGGATGAGCGAGAGGGCGGCGTGTCTGAGTGCACATTGATCCCCCGTTTCCCAGCAGTCGAGGGATGTTTACGGAGAAACATTAGCAGTCGGTTAGGCCGCCAAGACAGCGCGGATGAGTATCGACATCTGCAGGGCTACACGCAAAACGCCCACGCGGATGCATTATGGCAGGTCGGCCGAGTCAGACACGCCCGGGCCGGCGGCGCGGGTCCAGACGATGGACACATGTGTTTTACGTCAGTCGTAAGGGGGAGCGAGACGGGCGGACACACACAAAATGAGCCCGGTGACTGTAACCGTCTCCCACCACCCTCCCTCTCATTACAAATACAGACTGTCTGCCTCCCCTCCATTCCTCCCGTCCCAGCCGCTTACGGCGGGCCTCGAGTAAACCCGAATTCCCTCCCTTCACCTCGGTCAAAAGGAGAAATCGTTTTTTACCGTAATAATCCGTTTTTAAATTTCAGCACAAACACAATTTAATTGTAACAGAAACACTCAGGACAACAATTTAGCATTCTCATCGCAACCGTCCATGACCCCCCCCCCCCCCTCTTCTGGATGATTTATTTATATGAGATATAAGTTGATCTACTGGGAATTAACATTAAAAGGCATGTCAGCTTTGTCCCCTACGCGCCTGACTGAGTGGCTGCTCGGGGGGGGGTTATAGTGGGGGGGAGGGGGGTGTAATGCTCTCGTCTCAGCCTCGGCCATCTATCACCGGCCTGGAGCGGTAGCAACACACACACTCAGTCACACACACTTTTCAGTAATTCTCATCCCTCAACAACCGAAAGCAGTGGCTACCTACTATTTGCACCCACACACACCCTCCCCCTCCCCGTCCTCCTCCCCCGTTACTGGACACCAAAGCGACACCTATCGGTTTAACGTCTCCTACTGGTCTGGATCACCCGGGGTTTCCCTGAGAATGGAAGAAATTTGACAGACCTCAATATTTTCACAACACACCAGGAGAATGTGTGTCTAATATAGGGTTTTGTTGCCTTTGCAATGAATACACCGCTTGGTCGAGAGGCTTTCACCAACTCCCAAGAAAGAATTCGGCAGCCAGTGGGAGTAAGTTTCTGACTGCCACTTAATCAGAGGCGCAGATCTCAAAGAGTTTAACAGGGGGCCTACGGGGGGGGCCATCGGACACCTTGTTGCACCAAAAAAAAGAACTTTCACCAACGGGAATAGGTTTTTCTTTAAGAAATTCTTTCGTTTTCTCATAAAACACCCCCAAAAAAGCACCAGGCAGCCATTTGGGGAATTTGGGGTTGGGTTGACAGGTTCCACATGTGGTGACTAAAGGATCAAATGTGTTCGGCATAGGGGCGCTCGTTAGCTAGCGGGGGGCGTCTTCGGCCGGGGGTCTCTCTGGTGCCGCCTGGTAAAAAAGGACTTACGCTGTGGCTCCAAACACTGGGCCTTGCACTCCTGCTCGGGGTGGGGGAGCCCCCCCCCCCCCCTTTAACTCTCTTCACTTGACTGCATTCCCTTCAAACGGCGGATGACCCGATTTAGCCGGCAAAAACCATAGAACCAGCAAACACGGGCCCCGATGGGAGACCACGCACTTTTTTTGGTGCCCCGCCAAACCTATCTAACTGCTGTTATTTGTTTGTCCCTGCAAACTCTTTCAAAGGGAGAGGGCAGGGAGGGGCGGGGGGGGGGGGTATAATTATAATTTCTGCAATGGTCCAGACAGCTTTGTGCTTATCTGCAGTTTGCCCGCCACGCTCTGTTTACCAGATTGGAGCGAACGCGTTTTTTCCCCACTGCCACCTTCAATTCCGGTCGCATCGATAACGCTATTGAACAAACAGTGCTGTCTGTTTCTGCCCGGCAGAGTTATCATCCTGCTGCAAACACAGAAAACACACAGAAACCAAGTCCCTAAAGCCAAGACCCCCCCCACCGGATAACAGACCAGTTGTGGTATGCTCCCAATGTGTTCATCAAAAGGCGGTCGAAGGGGGGTGCAATTAAAAACACAAAAAGGGGTATTAAAGTTGCCCTGGAGGGGGGTAATTATGCCCTCCCGCTCCCCACTTCGCAGCCCCTTTAGGCTGAGAGCAGCGGGGTGGGGGCAGAGGGCATGAATGGGCGTGGGCTGAGGGAAATGGCTTTTGAAGTTTCTTGCAGGAACAGTAAGTATCTGTGCGAGATGTAGCCTTGCTCGATCAATGCCACCGTCCCATACAGCGTCTCTATTCACCGGCCGACGGAATACCGCCATTAAGCAGAGAAAACAGGGGTTGAATACACACCCGGGGAGGCCGGCCAGCCCCTTCTACTAATGGCAAATAGTTTTAATTACCCGGATGCCCTTTGTTCCCCTCTGACGCCTCTGCATTGAAACGTTCCACATCATCTGCTTAATTAACTGATCCGAGTAACAGACATCAAAGGGAGCTTAGGCCTCTGTGGGAAGAGGGTTAGCTAGCAAGTCAAATCATCACCTTCACTTTAGCTGACAAAAAGTCCTGCTCGGCCTCCCTCAGTGTGGGTTCCTTGTCCCCCCCTCTCTCTCAAAAGACTGTTTGGATTTATTCCCATTGTTCCCCTGAAGATGCTATCTCCTTACGAGAAGTGGCCGCTTGGAGCTTCAGCCGAAACAACAACAGCATGGGAAGAATTGTGTGCTCTACTTAAGGATGATTTGTGGAGCAATGGCAGCTATGCAGGGAGGGTTTGTGAGGCTTTTAAATGTGTGATTGTTTGTGTTGGCCTGCATGCGCGCGTCGCGTCTGCGGAGCTTTGAGGGGTCTGGGAGTGTGTTTCTTACATGATGTGGTGAATAATAAATGCCAATAATGGAGAGAATGATAGCAGTGAGGGGAATGTGTAAATGTGTGCGTGTTCAATCGGGAACCAGACTACGCTGCCGGCTGCTCTTCCTCCTATCCGAAGAAGGAATTTCTGATTTATTGGAGCCTCTTCAGCAGCAGCAGTTTAATCTCTCTTCTTTAATCTCTCAGGCCGGCGTTTTGCTTTCTTCTCCACCTCTACCCCCTCCTTTCAGCCATCCATCACCCTCTCATCTCTGCACTCTATCGCCCTGTGGAATGCTGGACCTCTGAGGCGAAGAGGCCACGATGTGGATCAAAGGTCGGACAATCTCCAAGTCGGCACCGGAGGGGCCTTGTGCAATTTAAAATTCAAGCGACTGGCTGCTCAGACTGGGAATGACACACTTTTAAGATTGATTAAAAACTGAACCTAATTTTTTTTTTTTTAAGTTCATAAAGGCCAAGTCAAAAAACAGGCGCACTAGTCTACTTGACCTCTGCGACCCCTCTGATCGCATAAACATGATTATTCTCCCCTTCGGGTTTTGGGGACAGTAATGTGACCCAATAGGTGACTGGCCGCGTCACAGATGAGTGAACCGGAATGCGGGGGCCACCTAATCAGCTCATCCAAGCCCGGATTATTGGGTGGCGCAGAGGCTGATCTCTGGCCCATTCATCAGCACCAGACCCTGTTTAATACGGGGGGCTTAGAGCGGACGGCGAGGCCCACAGCAGCGGCAGAGTGGCTGGGGACGGAGTAAGTGGCGCGATGGGCAGGGTGGGGCCTTTTTTTCTCTCCCACGGCAATTGTTCTCTCACAGAGACGGGCATTGTTCCTCCACACTGGAGTTGTTGGAGTCGGCAAAGACACACAGTGGCTATGAACATATGAGCATGTGTGGGTCAGGGTGTCCGCGGTGGTGGGAAAGTCACCGGACACATGGCAGCCAATTCTTTCAAGCCATATCTGAAGCTACCCGACTCCACGAGGGAGAGAGGTGAAGCCTTTCGGAGGCGCATCATGAGTCGAGTTGAGCGGGAGGGTTTAACGTTACAGCTCAAAGTCTTTCCGTCTCATCTGTATACCTATTCATCCATCAATGTCAGCTGTGCCCGCCCGCTCTCTGTCCGTCTTTCGTCGCCCAATAAGCAAAACAGATCCTCATGTCGACTCTGCGCCCCCCCCTCCTCCCTCCCTCAGCCTTACAGAGCCGATCGCAAAGATGGTATTCCAAAAATGCAACTTTCTGACCGGAGCACAATGCAGCGTGGGTACTCTGGGGTTGCCATAGAAACCAACATGGTCCCATTCATGTGGCTCCCCCTTTATAACATAATATCCTAAGCATCTTTCGCGCCGTTTTAACTTTTTTGTCATCCATCTCAATCAGCTTTCTCCCGTCCGTCATTCAACCTTTGTCCGTCCGGATCATTGGTCATTCCGCCGGCGTTCCCGGTCGAAGTTGCCAGAGCTCCGTTTTGCCACCGAGCAAAGCGGAAAAAGCTTTAAGTCCAGCGGAGAAATAATTGGCTGATTCCACCGTACAAAGAAGGCTTGGATGAATGCACATGTCTCACGCTGTCCCCTGAGACATTTGTATCTTGTAAGGGCCGGAACACAAAGGTCACCACTGACAACATATTTCTCAGATGGGAAATATCTGTACAAGAAAATTGATTCTTCTGGATTGATTCCACAAGGCAAAACCTTCATGCGTCTGAGCTGATGGCTTAATGAATTCCATGGGGAAACAATGTCAACTCAAGCCACAGTTCATACATGGACTTCTTTTTAATGGAGCAGCAGTAGTAGTAGTTGCTTACGGCGTGTGGTAATAACACATCTGACCTGTAGGGGGGGGGCATTATTTGCATGTTCACACACTGAACCCAGACGTCCAACAAACCGGAGAGAAAAGACAAGAGAAGTTCCACACAATGAGCCTTATTTACACAACAAAACAAACACAATGCTTCATTTTCAGAGATAGTATCTGACTCCTGCTAATTCTTACTCGCCCAAACACAGATACACTGTTGGTGCATTGGATGTCACCAAGACTTGACAAACAAGTCTGGAGGACACACGGGCTCTTTATCTCGACCTCACACACACACACACACACACACACACACACACACACACACACACACACACACACACACACACACACACACACACACACACACACACACACACACACACACACACACACACACACACACACACACACACACACTTTGAGAGGCAGTTCTGGCTCCACTCATACGTTTGCGTATTAATGTTTTCTTTCCCTCCTCTGTTGTGTGGGGTGAAAAGAGGAGGCGCAGGGGAAGTCTGCTACAGAGATAAGGAAGAGGCACAAGGATGGGCACGGGGCTGAGAAACACTGGAGGGGTTGACCGGGGGGGGGGACTTTGATCCGAGGAGAATCCAACAAAATAGAGACGCACAGATTTGACAGGCGAGGAGGCGGACCCCAAATCCGCCTCACGGCGCCACAGTTCAGCGCAACATGGCAGCAATTAAATCACTGCCAATATACTTATTCTCTTTTGGTGAAACACGTCAATTCCTTCAACAAGCCTGGGAAATTCAATTAGCTGCCAGAATCCAGACGTTTACAGTCTTGAAGTTGGTGTGAGAACTGCATTGTTTATTGTGCAGACAGGATACGCCGTTTTCCCGGGAAAAGACGTAGCCAGGAAGTGCAGCACTTCACAGGGAAACACACAGACTGCACGCCAGCAGGAAGATAAAACCTTTGGCCTGATTCTCTATCCGCTCGCAGTCCGTAAAACAAGCCATCGACACCGGCAACAACAAGTGGGAATATCGAATAAGGACGGAAATCAGGGGGCAGGCGGAGAGGGGGGGGGGGCTGCTCTTGGGAGTTTTTTTTCAATGAGGTGAAGTCTTCTTACGGGTGATTACAGACCGTTAAGATGGTCAACGTACTTCCATGAGCACGGAGCCCGTCAGAGGAGATTATCATCGGTTTGACAATCTGGAGTATTTTGCCCAGATTGAATTCACCAGACAGATTACAAAAACCTGATTATGGGTTGTTGGGAGGGGACAGACAAGCCCAGAAAAAAAAAAGATGTGGATGGACGTAGGAATCCGCTGAAGAGAAGAGGTGGGGCATTAAGAGCGAAAGGCTGGATTAGGAAGTCCTGTGGGAAAAGGAGATGTTTTTCAAGAACAGCTTTGGTTCAGATTACCTGGAAATTGTGGAAATCCCATTTCCATTGTGTCCACCTAATCACGCCACCAAATCTCATCTCGTAAACACGCACACGCTCATGCGCCCAGTAGTCAGACAGACGTGTTAACGGACTCCACCGTTTTATTTCTTTACATTGGCCTCCACCACTTCCACTGCAGGACACTCAAGAGGGGAGAAGCTCACACGGGCAGACAAGTGGAAGAAAAGAGGAAAAAGGAGGAAAAAAAACAAGTTTGCTGGGAAGACTAGAGTGGCTTTCATAGCGAGGTAGCAGGAGGAAGCTTGAAGAAAGAGGGCGGGAGGGGGAAAGCGTGAAGGAAAGGGCAAAGTGCCTTGTGAAGGATCGCCATGGATGCCAAGAACGATAAAAAATTCCACACCTCTTAGCATGCTACCCCCCCCCCCCCCCCGCCCCTGCTCCGAGAGGCAGAGTTGGAGGTGAAGAAATAAAAGACTGAAAAGGGACAGCTTGTAAAGTAGAGATAAAAGCTGGTGAAGGAGCGAATAAACAGGAGGAGGGGAAAGAATGAGGAGCTTCCCAGAGCCGCGGCCGCGTGAAGAGGGGCCGGCCTGAGTGGCAGCCTGTATTCAGGGACCACCGCGGTGTCAGAATGACTGACAGATTGATAGAGGCTGTGCCACTTCATCACATAGCGAACTCTGACCCCCGATCGGTCACACCAGTTACTATTCTCTTTCTGTGGCGCACCGCAGAGACCGTTCCCCAATTTGTATGGGAAGCATCACAAAACGCCCTTATTGACTGGATGAATGCCACACACACAACAAAAAAAACATTCACATGGATGGAACACACCTCGAATGAGTCCCTAACGTGAGCCGACGCGGCTCAAAAAGCGCATGCAATAAATGAACTGGACCCACTGAGGCAGCGGCGGTGCGCAAAATACACTTTTGGAAGCGTATTCCGCTGTTTTAACTAAATCAACAAAGCTCAATACCAAAGGCAGCAAAGCCGAGGCGGCAGAGTCCGAACAGATTAACGACGGCGAGGATTATGTCAAAATAAACTTGTGCACGAGAGAGCCATGAAAGGGTTAACACGTCCGCGGGACTGAAGACCACAGAACCAAGTAGAAAAGGGAACCTGGCCAAGAAAGGGGGGGGGGGGGGGGAGGTGCTGGAAAAAGGGAAAAACAGGTACCAAGCAGGAGGAGGAGGGGGAGGGGGTCAATCCCTGCTCTGTCAGCAAGGGAAAAATGGGGAAAGGGAGGAAGGAGCAGATTATTGGAGTCCAGAAAGCTCCAGGGACGATGTAAACATCAATCACAACTGTGTGGCACATGCATGTGTGTATAACTGAGGTTAATGTGTGTAAGGTTGTGCGAGTCGCACAGATCTGGTGATGTTGTAAGTGCTCCAAAAACACACACACACACACACACACACACGCACACGCGCACACGCGCACACGCGCACACACACACACGCGCACACACGCCTCTGAACAAGCACTCCCTTTTACAAGAGACACGTACACACGCTGGCACGCGGGGACCCGGACTGACTGGGCACACTGGTGAGCTGCTTTCTGGGAATCATACGGCGCTGGTGATTAAGCGGTTGCTAATCACACAAACAGGTTACGAATGTACTAACAAGGAAAGAAGGTCAGGGAGTGATGAAAGACACACAGTCAGGAACGGAGTTCACTCCTGCCGGAACAAAGTGGTCGTTAAAGTGCAGGCGGGGATGACCTTGGAAGTCGAATCACACATAAATACCAGAGTGGAGCGGGGGAACTATGCATGTATTGACCCATGCACGAGAGTGTGTGTGTTACTAAATCCCTCAGCATACACACTGAGAAAAAGGAAATGAGCCTGCACCACATGGACCGCAATGATCCATTTCAGATCAATTTGATTAACGACAGCTTCCTAACCAAGAGAAAAAAGAGAGGGGAAACGCATCGTGCGAGAGAAAAGATGGACGCCAACACGCTGCATCAAGTCGGACGGGTCAAAGGGGAAGAGCGGAATGATGAAAAGCACCAAATGAAAACCTCTCAGAGACGCTGTGATTTTTCTGCGAATACGGGATCAAGAGTAGCCGAAGGGGGGAGATTTAGCGCAAGTGCAAAAAGACGGATTACTAGTGTGTATATACACGGGCATGATCGCTGTGATTACACAGGGGGGGGGGGGGGGGGGGCTATAATGTTAACCTTTCAGACAACAGTGAATGCTGTAGTTTCAACCACAGGGGAGATCCGGAGGAGAATGGGGGTTGAGTCTAAGCTTGTGGGAGAATTATTGACTATCTGCTCGTTTGAAACCAAAACATTTGTGCAGAGAGCGGGAGGGAGGGAGAGGGGGGGGGGGGGGGGGGGGGGGGGGGAAGCCCAAACACTGATTGATTCAGATGCCGTTGTCAGTTGGTGTGATTGAGTGTCCTAGTTTGTGGATTGTATGCCAGGAGACCCCGGTTGTGCTCGCCCGTTCCGACTGGGTGGGTTTGTGCGTGCGTATAGTAAAGTTTCTCTGCGCTGTGTAAACTTAAAGTCCCCCCCTTCCCCTTGAACACCCGGCCTCCATCAAACATAATTGTAATTGACCCCCACTTATTGTGAATGGCCCTAACCCCGACCATGTGAGCTCCAGTTTCTCCTCCCCTGAGCAATTCATCTCTCTCCCCCACAGCGTGACCTACTGGGCAGGCCTCAAGTTACCTCCTCAGTCTCTGTCACACACCATTATGACTCCTCTTACCACCTGAAATATGAACACCCCAACGTCTCCCCAACAGCCACGTCAAACCCCCCCCATGTGATATCTCTTGATTTAGGAGATGCCGCAGCCTCCCACTCCACGCGCGAGGTTGGGACGCTCTGTCAGAGGATGTGATGTTTCAACACATTGTGCTGTGAGTCAGACCAGAGGGAGACAAGGAAAAAAAAGGGAAACACAACAAATAGAAGCCGTGCAAGGGAGAGAAAAAAACTACCTCCCTTATTAGGATTTCAGCTCGTTGAATGAAGATTCAACATCAGCACACAGAACAGGGATGCATTGACTTTTTAAGCGTTATCAACATGTTACACTCGCTTTCCTCCTTTAAATCAAGTGAGCGGTGGAGAAAAGGAAAAGGCATTTAGCTATTTATTGATCCTACTTGATAAAAGAAAACGATCGTTGCCTTTCTCGGCTGAGAAGCGCACTAAACAATTAAAAGTAAAAATAAAAAAAGGAGCCACCCTCCCCTGTTGTTTGTGTATGACCCGTTTGCTCTGTGCCATCACAGAGGCAAATGCACGCTGGCACAAATCCCGCAGCGTGGGCGCGCACGTTAAATCTCAACAGGTTAGCCAAAGTATTACAGGTGAACAGCACCGTGATAAAAAGGGGAGGTAGGGGGGAGGGACAGAGACTCTCAACTGTCCTGCATTATCATAACAATGGCAGCCAGAGGCCAACGTTGCAAAATGCATCACACGTATCGCGCTAAATACGCGCGAGTGTCGACTACACTCGAGTGCGGATCAGATCACTTGCAAAGTTATTTTATGTGACAGACGACGATCAATCTCGGTCTTTGCATTTGGTAAATGAAAGAAGTGAGTGCAAAGAGAGAGAGAAGGGGGGGGGGGGGGCAGCATTACAGGAGCATCAAAGAGATCCTTACTTGGGGTTCGTTCCGTTCCAGTAGACGCTGTGCCGCTCCGCTGAAGCGAACCAGGCGCAGACGCTCACCGCGAAGCCCGCAATCCAGACCAAATCCATGGTGGAGACGAGTGCAGGCGCGCAAAGATAGAGAGAGATAGAGAGAAAGAAGACACGCAACTCAGGTAGGCGGCGCAAAACAAAACAGCCCAAAACAAAAAATAAAGTTTACGGAGAGGAGCTCGTTCCAAGCACCAGGAGACTGCGCGATTAGGAAACGCCTTTACGCATGCTGTGGGTGGAAAGGGAAACAACGCGCGAGGAGGTACGTGCAGCAGTGGACACCGCGAGGGGCTCGGGTTAATTCGACAAATCCGTAGTCAATGAAAGCTCGAGCTGCGTGGTGGCTGATTTTGTGAAATGCCCACATGCCGAGAGCCCCGCCTCCGGTGCAGAGGGGACCAATCGGAGGGCCGCCCGAGAGACGCAGCTCCGCCGCTTTCGCCGCACGGAGGCCTGTTGTGTGTTTACAAGATTACAACCATCACGCGCGGTGTATGTCCGAGCAGGACTACAGCACACGACAGTTAGAAGGATTCATACAAGCATTCAAATGCTCGCCTGCAGTAAGTGCACCTTCAGGGTATTTTTTCAAGGAAGCTAATGAAACGTCACTTTTTGCAGATATTATAGTAAACCTGGAATATTATGGATTACTACTATATACTAATACTATGGGTACTACAGGGTAGGATAATTATACCTCTACAAAGATATCAGTTCATGCAAAGACTAAATCACATGCAACATTTATTTATATGATCCTGTCTTAATCTTACTTGGTGGATAAAAAAAAGTAATGTATTCACAAACTTCAACACGGGAACGAACACCTAACATTAGGCAGCTTTAACACGGCTTTTACAAAATTGTAAATAAAACCTGATCATTAAAAACGGCACAACCTTCTTCGTTCTGTTGCAAGGCTATTGCGTTATGTTACGCAAGTTATTATGTCGAATGCATCCAAACTGTTTCTTTTCCTGAACTCTCGTCTATCGCTGCAGTGCACCGCCCTTGCTTGAGTGCTGGTTGAGCAACATTTGTTTGCACAGCGATTTCTCGAAGATAATCTCTTTTTTTCCTTTTTTTTTCTAATCATGCATGGCAAGCTTTTGTGTGTGAATCTTACTTTGAGTGGGTTCATTTACACTCGGAACTCTTAAACTATTCCACCTTAAAATACAATACAACACAATAGCTGTTTTTGCAGCCTTTGAAAAGCCTCACGAAACAACAAATCCTAGATAGTCAAATAGAAACACTGTACCTTTCAGCTGGAAATGTATAAACCCATAACCTCCATGCTGTCAGATACATTGCAAATCCTGATTCTCATTTTCTGTTCCGTTGGATAATCTGCACCGCGAGCTGCTTGTTCGGCCTAGTGAGGCATATTGCCAGAGGGGGTTTTCATGCCTGCTGCTGCTCGACATGGCACTTTATTAGCTCGGCCTGCTTAACCGAACAGCAGCTTTCAAAGTATAACAGCAAACAAAAAACTAAATAATAAGAGAGGCAACCCTTGTGGTTAAAAACAGCTGAGAGCTTGGAGCATTGACTGAATTTCACCTTTGTTGATGTGATCAGAAAAACGTCACGTTGCCCAGAGATGAACCCTTTGAGATGTTATGAGCTCGTTGAAGTCATCTCAGTCACAGGAGACAGTGCATGACACTTTAGACGTTGTCCCAGCAGGTTTTTTCTTCAGACGATTACACTGTTATGGAGGACTACTGCTTTCAAATCAACAGTTCATCTGACAGTTTAATTGTCGCAGCGCAATTACAAACCATTTATCTGATGCACCGAGCAGATAAGATAAACTAATATCTATTTAGGCCTCCCGTTAACCGCGGTACGACTCCGTGCCGTGTTGTCCTCCTTGAATAATCACCACAAACAGACACCCACACTATTTTGTCAAGTGTTTTACGTAAGGCCTTTACTTTTAGTTTACTTTATGCAGACTCGAGTGGAGTCCTCTGTATACTACAGCCAATGTATTTCATGTTCAGTGGTTGCGAGTAGTCACAGTTCAAGCAATCTGCATCAAAAGAATTCAGTCCAGACTCTAACAGTACAAACGCACAAAGGCACATATATATGGTAATCTTGTGCTTCTCAGTGTCAAGCAGGTCATCCAAAATAACATGTTTTTTATTCATGAAGAGTGCTCATCCCAGTGGATCAATTTTTTTTTAAAGTCCAATTGTTTCTTCTGGCTCGGTGAAAAGAAAAAAATTTGTGAGGGACTGCCATCATAATTGTCATTTGCATTGCAATGGAAAATTTGTTATGGAAAAGCTTTGGCCACGCCAGAGACATTTTATGTCAAAACTCAGGAGCCAAATGAGTAGACCTTTTATTTCAAACCCACCTCAAATGCTGAAGGAGTAAATAGAAAGATGAAGTGGAGTACATAGAGTATATATATATATATACATGCTCTTCTAAAGTTGCATACATGGATCTCTGCAGGCTTGTACGTGTCACAGCCAGGCCGTGCCTCCGTGTCTGTGTGTGTGTGTGTCTGTGTGTGTGTGTGTGTGTGTGTGTGTGTGTGTGTGGTAGGGGCGTGGCTCCAAACTGAGCTCCTCCGGACTCCCTGATTACATTTCACCTCACCTGCTCAGGCAACCAAGCTGCCTTCAACCCACTAATCGCCCTGCGGGTTATCTAAGCCTGTCCTCCGTCCGCTCGTCGCTAGATTGCTGATTTAACTGGTAGTGACGGTGCTTGGCTGCTCTGTTGACAATTATTTACAGCGTTTTAGACTAACTGGTTTTGCCTTCCCTCTGACCCGGTCTTTGTGTTCTTGCAGTCATCCGTCCTGCCGGTTCTCCAGTCTGTCTGCCGTTCCCCACCGGGATTTCCCTGCCATTCTCGGCTATGTCTCCATAGCTGTTACCCTGGCAATAAATAAGTTCCCCCTACTAGTCCCTGGTCTGTCCGCATTTGGGTCCGCCACCACATTTCGTAACAGAACGTCCACGGAGACACAAACACATTAGTATAAACACAAGCCTCGCCACCTCGAATCCTGACAGAATTTGCACTGAGGTTGTTCCTTAAGCGTGAAAATGAGATGTAGGGAAGTGATTGGGGAAACCGTGTCAAGCAGGCCTGGGAACTGACTGTTTTCCATCCATTTTAACAAGAGTAATTAGATGAGGTTATAAAGTTGCACTTTCTGTGATCCTAAAAAGGAAAAAACAAAACACTGATTTTTCTTTTTCCTTGATTACCTCTGAAAAGTATAAAGAACATGTACACGTGTACTGCTCTGTAAAGGAACAATGCACACATATTTATTCCAATAGTCTCTGACAGATGTACGTGTGTAGTAAGATGAAGCATCTGAGTGAGTGTGTGATCGGGTTTATCTGCAACATCTGAAACATGTAGTCTCCCTTTCAGCCATCCTTACTTTTGAGTATCTACAGGTTAATTTCATACTTGATATGTTATGATCCACGACACAAGATAAATAAATCCCACTTTTTTCTAGTCCAAGTTGGAATTTTGACTGTAGAGCAGCCGGAAAAGGAAATTTGGTGAGAAGTTTCTTTTGTTCGGGAGGGCCGAGGGGTCACTTGGTGGAGATGAATTCTCTTATGTGCAGCAGGGTCGTCTTGACTCTGCTCGCTGTCACTTTCTCCCTTCTGGCTCTCCAGCGTGGCCATTAAAGGAGAAGTGCGTGGCTCCTTCACAGTGAACGCAAATGATTTAGGTTTAATGAGCATGACTATCATCGTGCGTCTTGTCTGCTCGGCCTCCCTTGGCTCGTGTGCTCCAGCGTTAGTCCAGGAAGCTCCTCCTGCACGAGTCGTTCCTGAACTTGTGAGTTCTTTCTTAGCGAACAATGGAAGCGAAATGTTTCCTTTTAATTACTCCAGCAGGTCCACCTCCTCCCATGAAATGCCGACGCTTTAAAGATCCCCGTCCTTCCCTAAACGGCTATCCTGCTTAAAACAGGTTCGTTCGTGCTCCGTTGTTGCTCTGGCACACTTGTTGATTCTCCTGAGGCCGAGAAGGAAGCAAAGTTAATGATTAGCTGGAGCAATTTTAGAGGTAATCAGTGAGTAACCCCTTGCGTTGCAGCAACGTGAGGAAGTGGTAAGTGCCAGTTCTTAATTAGCTGTAGTTAATTTCAAGGGAAAAACAAAGAGGATGTTGATTAGCCGGCGCCACGTGCAACGATCCGCGTGTCGGGTGACGGATTGGATTCCTGGTAAAACATATTAGGATGACATTGTAGTGAGCGGCCCTGCTGATGGCTGTGCACGCTTGCATATCCACCAGCCAAACTGAGAGACAAAGAGCAGCTGAGAAGGAGGCGGATGAGGAGGTGGAGGATTGAGGAGAAATGCAAACACAATGTTAGATAACGAGAGTGTAAGAACAAGAATGAAAGCAAAAGTGAGGAGGCGTGCGAGATGAGAGTGAAGAGCTTAAAAAAAGAAGCTCTTGAGGAGGGAAATATGCAAAGTAAAAAAAGACGCTGGAGAGAAAGTGCAAAGGAGGGACACACATTGAAGCGACAATAAACATGTTTTCTCCCATAAACGAAGCAGGGAAACCTTTTGGCCTGTTACTAGCAAGCAGCAACTAGCATGCAATTATGTCCATGTCCCTTGGGCAAATTTCATTTTTTCATTTTGGGCCGTGATAATTTCCTTTCTTCCCCTGTGTGAGATATTGCAGGTGACTCAGCGACAAAGGAATGAACAAAAGAGAGAAACGCACAATCATTTGGAAAGCAGCAACAAATCAAAGGAGTCCGCCTCATCCTAAAAAACATCGAAATGTTTGTGGGTGAGCTGGAAATGTGGAGGAAGTGTAATAACGCAGAGGAGATAAGAAAGAGGATGGTATGAAATAAAGTTGAAAAGGGACTTGAGGTGTAAACATAAATATATTTGAGGCGATGTTGAGTGCGGAGGAGAAGCGGAAGCACGGACGAATGCCAAATGGATGAGAGGGGAGAGAGTGATAAAGATAGGAGACAGGAAACAAACAAGAAGGAAAGAGGGACAGGCGGAACACGTAATAAGATGTCCGGATGAGGACCCACATACATACGGAAGCAGGTAGCTGGAGAGATGGAACAAGATGAAAGTAGGACTAAGTATTATCATCAGAAATAGATTGTTACACAGGAAATTTGAAGCTGAGGAGAGACAGCCAAATAAAAATAGCTGAGAGATGAAAAAGAACAATGCATATAGTTTTTTAGGGAGAAATTGAGAAAGGAAGAGATATAGTGTCAACACTTTTGGGAGAAAATCTACAAAACAGAAGCAAGAAAAAAAAAGTAGGTGAGAGAAATTTGGAGCTAA